TATGAACATGTATATGCATGTATTTATTTAGTGGTGGTTCTAGGTATTACAATATACATCTTATAGCACTTCACATTAATACTGACTATGGTAAAATATTATAACTTGGCTTTATTTTAGCTCTATTTTCTTCCCATTTTCTGTGTGGATTATATGTTATATATCAATGTTATAAATTCACAATATAGTGTCAGTGTTATTGCTATATATAACTTTATGCTATTGAAATAAATTGAAAACAGAAAAAAGGAAATATTTAAATATATTTTTTATTTTTATCCACATAATTGTGTTTCTGGGGATCTATCTCTCTTCTGATGGATTTAATACCTTTAACCTTAAAACCTCTTTTTAGTATTTCTTGTAAGGCACATCTGCTAGTAATGAATTATCTCTTACTTTGTCTATTTGGGAATGTCTTTGCTTTCATTTTTGAAGGATAGTTTTCCTGAATATAGAATTATTTTTGGCAGTTTTTTTCCTGTCATCACTTTGTATTATTCTAATGCTTTTTGGTTCCCGTTTTATTTAGATGCAAAATCAATTTGTTATTCATATTTATGTGCTCTTGTATGTGATGAGTAATTTTTCTCATCCCTTTCAAGTTTTTCTGTTTATCTTTGACTTTCAGTAGTTTGGTTATGATGTGTCTTGGTAAGTAGGGATCTCTGTATATTTATCTTCCTTGAGGCTTGTTGAGCTTTTTGGATTTTTAAAGTAATAATTTTTAAGTTAGGGGCCATAGTTTTTTCATATATATTTTTCTTCTCATTTCTCTCTAATACTCTTCACTAAATGTATATTGGTTGCTTGATGATGTCCCATAGGTCTGTAAGGCTGTTTTCATTTTCTTTAAACTTTTACATTTTACTTTTAAGTTAGATAATTTATCTCTTTCTTCAAGTACACTGATTTTTTTTTTCCATTTCAAATCGTTCAAATTCTTTTTAGGTCATAATCAAGAATTTTCATTTGGAGAACGCCAGGGTAGTTCAGTGGTTGAGCATCTGCCTTTGGCTCAGGTCATGATCCTGAGGTCCTGGGATTGAGTCCCACATCAGGCTCCCTGCGAGGAGCCTGCTTCTTCCTCTGCCTATGTCTCTGCCTCTCTCTGTGTCTCTATTCAATAAATAAATAAAAACTTAAAAAAAAAGAATTCTCATTTGATTCTTTTTTATGATTTCCATTTTTTAAGCAGCCCTTCTATAACCTTCTCTTTTTTTCAGAATCATCCCATTAAATGTTTGGCTAGTCCATTGCTCACCCTAATTGAGATCAAAGTCTCAAGTTGTCAGGGCTGTAGTTTTTCCTCATTCACTTTTAACCAGATTTGTTAGTTCATTGATAATGCCACTGTAAGATTTTTCCCTCTGCCAGGAGTCAAGCACACTCTCTCTTCAGTCTTACCCTAGTAACATTGACCAACTTGGGAAGGGAGATAGAAGAAAGGAGCAACCCCATCTAAAGAACCCATAGATTTTTGCTGCTCTTCAGTAATGCTGTAGTAGTTTTTCCTTGAGTAAATACTTCTCAACATCTTGTTTGCTTTTGGTTGACTTCAGAGCCCTGAAATAGTTTTAAAAAATTCATTATCCAGTTAACATTTGTTTTATGGGGATAGAATTATTTACTGACGTCTTCACTATTATCAGTCAGATGTCCCACCTTTGAATTCTATTTTCGGGATATTTGAACTATTTATCTTACAGAAAAGGTAGTATATTGTGATTTCGATAAAATGGTAGCAATCATTTGGATGCACTACTTTGTGTCATCTCTCTGGTAGGTGATTTTCATACAGGATGTATATTTTTCACAACAACTCTGCAAGGTACATATTGTCTTCGTTTTATAGGATCAGAAGGGTAAACAATTTTCCCTTTTAAGCTGTTATTAACAGTGTCATTGATTTTGCCTCTGTTGACACTGACTTAGCTTAGGTATAAGGAAGGAATGTTCAAATAGAATTTTTAGTCATTTTTATCTCAGTAAGTCGGTGAAATTTGATGCAACCAACATTTCTCAAGTACTTAACCAGTGTCAAGCAATGTTCTAGTTGCAAAGTGTGAAAGATAGGGCTGTGGGGAGGAGAATCGAAAGAAGGTGATATAAAGCATGGATAGGCCAGAATAAGACATGGTCCTCCCTCTCAAGGAATTCCTAATCATGAAAGGGAAGACAGATGTATTCAACTAACTGTAATGCAACTGAATGGTATGACACATGATTCTTAAACCTTAATGAGCATTCAAGTTACATGGTAAGCTGCAGACTCTGATTCAGTGGTTCTGAGTGGGACCTGAGATTCTGTATTTTTAGCAAGTTTCCAGTTTATGGTGGTGCTGCTGATTTATAGATTACACATGGAGGAGCAAAGCTCTAGTACTGATGTAAGCAAGGAGTTATAAGGGCGCATAGAAAATATGTAAATTTTGCTGCAGTTGGTTGAGGAAGAAAACTCGTTTCAGAGAGATTAAATAATTTGCCCTTCTGAGCTATTTTTTATAATGCCATTGAGATATATTGGAACTGGATAACATTTGATCTTGGTCTAATATGATAAATAGAATTATAATAGGAAAGCTAGCCTTTCCAAGTGGAGAGGAAAACTTTGGCAAGACATAGAAATACTATGTTTATGTGTGTTTTTAATAGGAAATACCTTTAAAGCATCTTTATTTTTTTTCTTTTTTCCTCTCCCTGAAACAGAATACCCAGTTAGGAGTAGTTCCAAATATGAGGCTATATATATTAGGATAATGTTTGCTGAAGTATAAAAAGAACTCCCAAACCTCAGTGGCTTAAACAGTAAAAGTTTAATTTTTACTCACCCAGAGTTCATCATGGATCTCTAAGACATCTCTTTTAAACATCTCCCTCTCTCTTGATTTGGGGACTTTAATGTGTAGCACCACCTCTTGGATATGTTACTTCCGAGGTCACCCTACATCCATCTAGCAAGCTTGCAGAGCAGTAAAGGGGGTAGTTTCTTACCACCTTGCCAGTAGCAGTAAAATTCATTACTTCTCACATTCTGTTAAATTATCATAAGCTCCACCCAGATTGTAGATTCTTCTCCAGAATAAGTATGGAGATTGGATCTAGAGAACAAGAAGTTGCCAATCATTAACATATAAATGGTACATTTTCACATACCTAGGAACTTAAAAGTATTGTAACATAGTATGTTATAGTACTGTGGTAAATTTTTAATCTTAATGATTTTGTTAAATTTTATATCTCTTAAGAGATAGATGTTTTAAGTGTGTTCTATAATTCTACTCTTATAGAATACTTCTAATTTTGTTGTTCAAAAGTTTGGTTTCTGTAAAGTTCACGTGCCTCCCACCCCCACATTGTAGGTAATGGATGAAGCAAGAAGAATCTCTGTTTCTCCCTTCAATTTAGTAATGCCTAGTCAAAAATGAAAATAAGCAGAATAAGTTAGAAACAAAAACTAAAAAATGTGATCCCTGCATCAGCAATTATAATTACAGTTTTTTTGTAAAGGAAGGAAAAATGTTCATATCTGTGGACATAAAAATTTGATATATTTTAAGACTCGGGAAATTGAAAGTAAAACACATTATCTGTATTAGCATAATTCAGTAAAGGAAAGGACTTAGGCTGTAAGAAGGAAGATCTTGGTTCTAACTCAAGCTCCAATATTTTGTATCCATTTGGCTTTGACCTAAGCTTTATGAACTTGGATTTCCTCGTCTACATAATGGGGATCATAAACTCTTTCCCTTCCCTTGAATGCTTATTTTAAAAATAAGAAAAATGACATATGGCATATACAGTCTTAATACTGAGAAAAGTAATATTTACTTTTTAAATTAAAAAAAAATTTTTTTTGAGAAAAGTAATATTTAAATATAAGATGCTCTAGGAAAGAAAATTTCCAAGAGTTGACTGTTCTTTTCAGCTACTGTGAAGGCACATGGAGAGGTTTTTTAAATTTTGTTTCTCAGTCATTTATTTTAATTCTGCAACTTTCCCTCTCCCTCCCCCACCACCTTATTTTTACCATATGTTATATGTGCCATGCTCTGTGGTAGCCTTTGAAGGATTTAAGAAGACAAGGGTTTTTTTGTTTGTTTGTTTTTGTTTTTTTCCTTCCCTGAATTTCTGTGGTATGGTGGAATAGGTAGACACCAAAAGGTGTTGTAAAAACCAATATTGTATGGGCTAGTAGAGATCTACTTTGGGTATGGAGAGAGTATGGAGGATGGGCACCTCCCACAGCAAGAGGAAGGAGGGCAAAGAGGTTCCTAGACCTGTGGGAGTAACTTAGGATGAATCTAGAAGAAGAAGTAGGAGTGTGCCAGGCAAAGAAGATGGTAGAGAAGGGAAGGTCTCCCTGGCAGGTGAAACTCCTGAGCAAAGATACAAAATGAGGAACAACTAGTTTACTAGGAACCTACAGGTAGAGGCACTTCTTGGTGTGCACTTTTGAATAGTTGATATTTTCTAAAGATGTTTTATCACCAAGGGATGCTCATTACTGCTTATTCAGGCTCCTACTAGATTAGCTACATTTAGTTTTTTAGCAGTGTTGTTCAAAAATAACACATCTCTCTATTTGGGGTTGACATAGTGGGAAGGCTATGAGTCATTAGAATTATACACACCTGGGGTCATTTCCTGGCTCTGCCACCCACTCACCATGTGACCAGGCCTAAGTTATTTAAACCATCTGAGCTTTCATTTCTTTATCCTTAAAACAGAGACAAAAATAGTTATGCTTGAGAGTTGACTTTTGAAAATTCAATGATATGTTTTTAACATAGGATAGTATGAGGCCATACTAGCTCCTGAGTAGATGGCGGCTGTCACTATTATATTGGTCGATATAAAGTCAATTTGTATTTTGAAATGGTAAATAAAATGTACTGGATTTTAGTAATCATAGAATAATAAAACTATGATTTAATCTATCTAAGTTACTTGGGTTGACATACTGGCCTTTCAGTCATATTTTGTTTCTGTTTTAATAGACAAAATCTCAAATATTGTCCAATGTACTGGATGTTGCCCACCAGTTTATCAAGGAAGTTAATCCAGATGAATCCAAAGGGGTGAATTGTTCTACAAAAGAGATTAGGAAAAGTCAGCATCAGCCTAAACCTCTTCTTCTACAGGGGAGCAACCCTGAGGTAAGCTATGGAAAATAGAATAGATATTTTCTGTCATACATGATCATGGAGACCGTCATTTGCAGGCTTAACTAGAGCTATAGAGTTTTGCAGTTTATTTTATCACATTGGTATTTAATATTTGGATTTGTTTTTTGTTTTGTCTTGTGATATAAAAACATCTAGACTAAAAATCCTTGTAAGGAAACTTCTTTGATTCCATTGAATGCTGATTTTTTATTTTTATTTTTATTTTTTTATTTTTATTTTTATGAATGGTTGTTTAACCATGTTGCTTTCTGGACATTTCTACCATGTCAGGAAATGAATGAGTATTTGGGAGAAACATGAAAAAAAATAGCACAACCCACTATAGCAATTTTATTTCAGTCAAGATTTCAGAGAGGCTAAAAATACAAAACCTTTCCAAGTTTGTTTTGTTTTGTTTTTGTTTTTTTTGCTTTGTTTTTTATTTTGGCTTATTTTAGGTGACAGGCAATTTTACAGTCATTCAAAATTGGATTTTAATCCAATTTAATCCAAATTCTGGTTGTTATTCAGATTGACCACTGATCCCATGATGTACTAGATAAGTTTTCATCAGTTCATACCTATATTTTGTAACAGACTTGTTGAATTGGTTCTTTAGCAAGGAGCAATCTTCCTCAAATTTTGACATATGTAATAATCCTCATTCTTTTAGATGCCACTCATCTTTCCACTGTGGTTCAGAAATCATAACAAACCTGGCCAAAGTCAAACAGCTTGTTACCTGGCGACAGGGTGACTTGGACTTCAGTTTTTTTGTTGGGTTCCTAACCCATGCTCACAGAATAAAGAAGAAAACATGCTTTTTGCTCATAGGACCTCTTTCCAACAAAGAAACTGTGCTTGAAATGTCCAGGAAAGTCAGTGTTTTTATGTGGAGTTCACTCTCTAATAGACCTGTCAAGGGTGATTGTGAAGGATCCCTGATGAGCTATGGCCTCGTTATTGTGACAGTGACGTATTGAAAACTGACTCTGCCAAACACCGTCCTACATCTTTTACATGTATTATTTCTTTCTGTCCTCTCTTAAGTTTCCCCTTCTTTTTCCAGGTGAGAAAATTAGTGACAAAGATCAGTTTTTATAATTGCCCAAGGTATCATTGCTAGTGGGCCTTAGATTGGAACCCAAACGTTAGGACTCCAAATTATTTGCTTTTAGCTACTACACAGAGGCTGTGGTTTTAAGGGTTTCTCCTTACTGCCTGCCATTTTATCTCATTTATCTTAACAATAAAATTGATAAATTAACATTTGTTAAACAACTTTCATTAGGCATGGTGCTTAATCCTTTAATTGCCTTCTCTTATCCAATAATAATGATAACTATATGTTTTGCATTATTACTCCATTTAACAGATGACAAAAGCAGAGAGGAACTTAGTAACTAGACCTACTAGAAGGCTTATGCCTTTGCCTGTGCTTTTAATCCCTACAATAAATGCTACCTCTTGTCCCCATTGGTGACTGTATGTCTATAGACCCTCTCTACTTTTTGTCCTAACTTAAAAACTGTTATTTCAGTGGTTTCATCCAGGAGTATACATTAGAACAAACTGGAAAACCATTAAAGAAACACACATGACTGAATTAAGCCTCTCTTTGGGTGGGTCCAGGGGTGGGTTTTTTTTTTTTTTTTTAAATTTTTTTTTTTATTTATTTATGATAGTCACAGAGAGAGAGAGAGAGAGGCAGAGACACAGGCAGAGGGAGAAGCAGGCTCCATGCACCGGGAGCCCGACGTGGGATTCGATCCCGGGTCTCCAGGATCGCGCCCTGGGCCAAAGGCAGGCGCCAAACCGCTGCGCCACCCAGGGATCCCCAGGGGTGGGGTTTTAACAACCACTCAGGTGTGTGTGTGAGTATTCACCACACACATACACTGTGGTGTGATTATTCTGGTGAATGTCACTGCTGTCAACCTTTAGGTGTGCACCTGTACTCAGTGCACACTCTGAAGAGATAACCCCTTCGTATACTTAGTACTCCTTTTGGCCGAAGAGCAGTGGCTCTCCAACTGTAATAAGCATCAGAAGCTCTGGGTTTAAGTTTAATTAAAAGGGTCCTTCCTTCTAGAAGGGGATATTAAAACATATCTTACGTATGTGGCTTAGAAGGATAATGAACATACAGCACTGGATTCCGTGTAGTTTTTCAAATTTCCTAGTCCCTTCAGTACCGGTTAGAGTAATGATGGGCTCTGAGAGGAAGGAGCATATCACAATCCTGGGCTCAGGCACTTAAAAACCAATGTCCAATCCTCTGACTTTTCCTATCCTGCCACCACTGTGAGGAAGCCAAGTATTCCAAGGCATAGATATAAAAGGCAGATGTCTTATATCTCCGATTCATTGATTGGAAAAGAGCTGCTCTGGAGACCTGCTGGAATCACTTCATACTTAAACCATTTTATATTAAGCATTGAGTTTCCAGTGCTTCTTCATTAGTACAACACACACACATGCATACACTCATATTGATTACTGGATACCTATAAATACCTTCCCACATACTTCTAAAATTAAGTCTTTTTTCTTTTCTTTTCTTTTCTTTTTTTTTCTTTTCTTTTCTTTTCTTTTCTTCTTCTTCTTCTTCTTCCTCTTCCCCTTCCTCTTCCTCTCTCTTTTCTTTCTTTCTTTTCTTTCTTTCTTTCTTTCTTTCTTCTTCTTCTTCTTCTTCTTCTTCTTCTTCTTCTTCTTCTTCTTCTCTCCTCCTCCTCTCTCCTCCTCTCTCCTCCTCTCCTCCTTCTTCTTCTTCCTTCTTCTTCTTCTTCTTCGAGAGAGAGAGCGCACAAGGGAAAGGTTGAGGAGCAAAGGGAGAGGGAGAGAGAAAATCTTAAGTAGGCTCCATGCTCATTGCAGAACCCAACATGCAGTTTGACTTCATGACCCTGAGATTATGAGCCAAAATCGAGAGTTGGCTGATTAACCAACTGAGCCACCGAGGTGTCCCTAAAATTCAGTATTTTCAAACCAAATTCAGCTCTCCTCCAAAACCTGTGGATGTCACTGTTAGTAACAGCCTATCTTCTTTCTTTCCAGATGAGCCAAGAACCATTATTTTCTGTAGTCCTTTCTCTTCTTCCTCTGCACATCCAGTTGGCTACCATGTCTCATGCAGTCTACCGTCTAAAAACTTGCTTGAGTATTTGGTCCCTTCTATCCTTGTTGCTATTCCAAATACTGAGATTAGTTTTTTCTTAAAGTGCAAAAGGCTTCTAACACAGAACATGGATTTCATCCTCTCCCTTTCTAGAAGTCAATAATAATTCCAGCCTTGTGTATATGTATTTCTTTAAGCCTTTTCATTCTATATAGTGGTTATAAAACACCCCCAGTTAATGGATACAGAATGACTTTAAAATATAAAAATTTAAATTGAAAAAAATTTAAATTCCCACTGATCAACATTTACATTATTTCAATCTTTTGCCAGCACAAACTATAGTATAAAGAGTAATTGTGAAAAATATTTTTGCATATATATATATGATATATCAATATGATAAAATTCTGAAATTCTTAGTTGAAGAGGGTCATGCATATGTGATGTTGATAGATATTATTAATGAACTGTAATGTTTTAACTGGTTTCCTTGCATCCAAACTCACTATACCTTAATTCCCTTTCTCCCACACTACTATGTAGGACTTTTAAATGACTTTGAATTTCCATTATGTATTAATATTTGATTTCCTCTGTATGATGGCAGGATCCTCCATGATGGGCCCAGATCATTTTTTACACTCTGTATTTTCTCACATCCTACCTTTTACTATTGCAGTACAAACTACTAATAGTTTTATGTGATTGTGCTCTTTGCCTCCATGTTTTAGCATATATTCTGGTCCCTGTCTCTGGAGTATGTCTTTGCCACATTTTGCCCATAGTGTTCTTGTTTATCTGAGTCCAATAACTTGTTTCTTGCACCTGTTTCTATTGTGGACTTTTTAACCTGTGTTTCTGTGGCCGGCAGCTGGCACAGTATCTTCAGGTTCCCAGATGCTTTTTGTTTATATTCAGAATGTTGGACACATATTTAATGCTCTTTTCTCAATTATATTCTTAAATAATCTGCCTGTTTATTTTGCAATTAAGGGGTGAACATAGAGGATTCTGCTTTTGTATCTAGAAGATACACAATGGAGATTTAGCAATTTGATCAGTGTAGATAAATTCACATTGCTAATTCAGCATCGGTATGGACTTTAGTTTGCTTTATTGTCCTAATTTGGCTGTTTTCTCTGATCCAGTGGATAACTGCCAAACCTACCTTTATTTTCTTCTGTGTGTTCTCGGTGGATCTATATTTTGTACCGAATTCATCCTTTCCTCTTTCATTATGCTGAGAAACATGAGATGCTTCGTATGCATTAATTAATTTGTTCATTCATTCAACTAACTTTTAATGAGCACCTACTTTGTGCTAGGTGCACTGTTCTTGGTACTGAGGAAAAAAAAAAATACCTGATCTCATTACATTCTAATGGGGAGATACAGGCAAGAAACAAACATGTGGAGTAAATTCACCCAGAGATGCTATTCAGAGAAAAATATAGCAGTTAAGGGAATGGAAAGTGGAGGGGTAAAGAGACTATATTTATAGGGTCATCACCTACTCTTTGAGTAGGTGACAGTTGAATACACACCAACTGAAATGAGTGGAATATGGCTATGTGAAAATATGGAGAAGGGTCACTCCAGGTGTTGGATATGGCTAGTACAGGGCCCTCAAGCGAGAACGTGCTTCATGGGCTCTCAGAATTGCAAGAATATAAATTTGGCTGGAGCCCAGTGAATGAAGAGGGGAATTAAGGAAGTGAAGTAAAATGGCAAGGGAGTAGAAAGTCTGTATGCAGGACCTTGTAGGTCCTAGTAGGAACTGGAGGTTTCATAGAGTCTTTGGAGGGTTTTGAACATAGTGGGGACATGATCAGATACACATATTTAAAAACCTGCTTTTCTCTGCTGTGGGAGGTTTGCAGAGAGCAGATTGGAGAAGTAGGAGGAATAGATTCACGGCCATTGCCACTTTCCAGGGAGAACGCTGGTGAATAACATCATGATAAATCCTCTGTCATGCAGGCTCTAGTTGTAATAATTTTTCAAGAGACCATTTATAATTGTTGATATGATTTTAAAGAAATCAGTAAAGCATATAAGTAGGTACCACTTAAAAACATTCTCTTTTTAAGTTAAAAAGTAGTGTATGATTCAAAATGCCTAATAATGAATGTTACCTGTGTTTTAATATATGGAAAATTTAGGAAAGCACACTTAGATGCACTTTTTAATTGAATTAGGTAGAAGTCCCAACCACAAAAAGAACAGAATGTTCAAATCCAAAAGATAGGCTTCTACGTGAAGAAGGGTCATGTGATGAAGGAGTTTCTGCCCAGCCCGTTCAGGAAGCTTTAAATCAGCAGAGAACTGGACATCATGATGACAACGAGAAGCAGAAGTTACACACAACGAAAGCAGGTACAGCTATTTTTATAAAGTGTATGTTATAAAACAAGCTGAATTATTGTATTTATCTCCATTCTCTGTGAACATAAATGCAGTGTTCAAAACCTGTGTGCATTAGGGTAATATTTTGATATAACTCCTCAAAGAGCATTCACTGCACAACCAAGGGTAAGTGGTTTAATAATTATAGAGCCCTAGCGTGAGCACTGGGGAGTTGTGTGTTTGTTTCCTATGTAAATTTGAACTGTTAAATGAATGAATAATTGGATGCTCTCAGCTCCACGCACTCCTTGCAGAAAGTTTTTGTCAGGACAACTGTTCTTTTATAGATTTAAGTAGACATAAAACAAGAGGATCGCTGGGACAGAGAGTAAAGAACTTTTTTATATGTCTCTTGAAAAAATATATTTCAAAGACCGCTATTCAACTTAAGAGGGATAATTGATTTGTTCTTTGTTGTTTTTGTTTTTTCTTCCCAAAGGGATATTTCTTGTTTTTATTTTTCCTTGATGACTTTTGCACCCATATTCTAGACACTGAAGATTGGATGACTGAGGTGCATACTCTCTATTTCCCAGAATCTCTTGAGGAATGTCATGCTTTGAAGTGTATGTGATTTATTAATTTTATTACTCAGAATCTTAGAGAGACTCCCAGTTGATTTTTACTGAAAATAAAATATTAGGTAATAAATTTCAATCATGTATCTTCCTTGACAGCATCCAATTTTATTATTTTTATTTCATTTTTTTCCCAGCACAGGAACTCTCCTGATTATTGATCCTTTTTTTTAAGATTTATTTATTTATTCATGACAGACACAGAGAGAGAGAGAGAGGCAGAGACACAGGCAGAGGGAGAAGCAGGCTCCATGCAGGGAGCCTGATGTGGGACTCGATCCCAGGACCCTGTGTTCACGCCCTAAACCAAAGGCAGATGCTCAACCACTGAGCCACTCAGCTGTCCCTGATTATTCATTCTTTATAGCAGTGTAATTCCTAATGTCAAGGTATCACATACCACCTTCCAATTAGAATTGGACCTTTTACTAAATAATGTTCACTTTGAAATATCTTTCCCTACCCTTGTTCATGCTACATCAATTTCATTAATATTTCCAAGATTTTATTTCTGTACTCTTTTTATAACATGTATCTTAATATATGTTGTTGTATGTGCCTTTTATTTGAACTTTCATATTTCAATGTATTTTTTTACTTTTCTACTCTGAAAGGGAGTAAGCCTTCTATAAAAACACCTTTTTGGTTGTCTACTTTGAAAGATACAGTGTTTAAAATAATAAAAGTACTGATTTGATAAATCAGATAGAGGAGAAAAAAATTTTCATAGTGGAAATAGCTATAAGAATAATATAATGATTGTTTTACACGATTTTGTTATAACAAAAAGGTAACCAAGAAGAATTTGAAGGTTCAAGTTGAATTCAATCATGTGGAGATAATCAATGTTAATATGTTGGCACATGATTTTCGATAGACACATTGCACAAACACAAGGGTGAATGAGGTGACACTATACATACTATTTGTAACTTTTTTGCTTAGATTCTATCATGCTCAATTTTCCATATGAATAGAATTATACATCATCATTTGTAACTGTTGCATAATATTCTATATGCCATGATTTACTCAATCAGAATTTTATTGATGGATATTTTGCTCTAAGTCTCCCTATGGTAAAAAAAAAAGTTATGATGACCATCTTAACTATTTGGGTGCTTGTACAATTACCTTAAAATAGATTTAAAATGTAGAAATGATGTGTCAGTGGTTGCTGAAGAGAAATCATTAAGATGAGGATTTCTGTTGATATAATGTGTGATTTTTTTTGCCCCAGAGTATTATATATAGGACTATGTGTGTATCGTATGTATATGTTTGTAAATATTTTTCTTCCCCTAACATATTAAGTAGATACAAAAGAATATTTACTAAGTTTGTATACCTCCCCGGAGAAAAACAAAGCAGTAAGCACCTGTTCTCTGTCTTTCCTCCTAAGAGATTGTCACTAACTTAGATTCTGTATTTTTCATTCATTTCATTTTTCATTTCATTTCATTTTCATTTCTGTATTTTTTCATTTCATAAAAAATTCCTTGTAGTTTACTGCATGTGTGTCTCTCTAAAGAGTACATTGCTAAATATAGATGTACTTGAACATTATGTGAGTGGAAAGCTAGTGTCTATTCTTTTGCAACTTATTTCACTCACTATAATTTACTGAGATTTACCCATGAAGATATACATAGTTGTATTTTATTCATTTTTACTGCTTTAATGGTCTTCTGTTATATGAAAATACCACCACTTACCTGTTTAAATGTTGCTGGGTTTTGAGGTCGATTCCTATTTTGCCATTACAAACAATACTGGTATGAATATCTTTGTATAGGCCTCCTGGTACACATTTGCTCACATTTCTAAGATGTCTTTTCCTGGATGTGGAAAGCTGGGTCATAGGCTGTCTATGTCTTTGACTATACTCGATAAAACTGAATTACTTACCGAAGTATTTGTATCAGTTTATATTCCCACTTGCAGTATATAGGAGGTTTGGTTGCCTCCCATTATCATCAACACTTTGTCAGATTTTAAAATTTTTGCTGCTCCGATAGAGATGAAATGGTATATTTACTTTATGTAACTCATTACAAATTATATTATCTTTTTATAGGCTCCTTGGCCATTTAGCTTAGTAATATGCTTTGAATTTCCAAGTTTTCTAGTTATTTCTGTTATTGATTTCTTTTTTTTTCTTTTTAAAGATTTTACTTATTTTTTATTTGATAGAAAGCAAGAGAGAGAGAGAGACTGAGGGGGGGGGCATGAGCAGGGGGAGGGAGAAGCAGACTCTGCACTGAGCAGGGAGCCTCACTCTAGGGGCTCCATCCCAGGACTCCAGTATTAGGACTTGAGCTGAAGGCAGATGCTTAACCAACTGAGCCACGCAGGTGCCCTTCTGTTATTGATTTCTCACTTGATTTCATTTTGAGTGAACTCCAAAGGCTCAGTCCTTCAGTGTGAAAGGCAGGTACTACGATGGCCTAGAAAGTTCAATATAATCTGAAGTCTGTCATCTCTGTAATCTCAGCCCCTGTTATCTTTCTCCTGGCTTGCCCTGTTGCAGCTACATGGGCTGCCTGGCTGTTCCTCCAACACCTCCTCAAAAACATCAAAGCATATGTTCACCTTAAGACTTTGGCACTGACTATTGAAAAAAACACCTACATTCTACCAATATGAAGAATGGGGCATCTCACACAAATTTTCACAAAAGGTAGCCAGAGAACCATGGAACAAGGGAGCAAACTAAAACCTAAGTTATGGACTCTAAGTGGCACTTTTCAGGGAGACATGTTTCATAGATCCATGTGTCCTAGATTTGTTTTCTATAAGCAATTCTAAGCAAGAGCTGTCCTGTCACATGCATTAGGTAAGATTCTCCTTCCATAAATATCAATAATCTATTTGCCAGAAGGTCTGGTTATTGACATAAGCAAATTAACCCAGGTTACCCGCCCTCTTTATTTCCTGGAGATGTATTATTGGTAATTGGGATGGGAGAAGGGTGCATCACAGACCAGCTGCTTTACCTTCTTCCTCTGACAAACCTGAGGGTCATCTTTCAAGCAGAGTGGTCTCTCTCTAGGACTAGACAGAATAAAAGTGATTCCTCATAGTTTCAGCTTTCCTATCAAGAAATATTTTGTTTTGCACTGGAAAGAAGGACCCAGAGTGGAGGGATCTCCTTTTGCTCTCATCCTTAGCTCCTTTTCTTTCAGTGTAGTACGTTCTGGTGGTTTCTCAGAACTTCCTCCCATTGCTTTCTTCAACATGGCTCTACTTTTTGTTAAGAATAGGGGTAGTATGACATCTATTCTTTTGGTTTCTTTCTGTTGCTGGCATTTGACTGTTCTGGAAGCTATTCACCAAAGGCTATGTGGTATGAAGTTGGAACTATTCTCTAATTTCAGGTTTCGAAAATTATTTTTCTCTTCCTTAGTGTTTTCCTTTCTTCTCCTTTAGCACTTTTCCTACTCCTGTGGTGGTCAGTTCGGAGAGAGGGATAGCATCCAGGAGAGTGGAGAGACTGGTGATCGTGGATTTACACTGCTTTCTTTCCCAGAAAGCTCCATCAGTTTTAAATATCTCTGAATAGTGGTTTTAATTTAGTAGTGCTTCAGAAGCATCTTAAGCATCTGGAAGCAAATTGCCATGTAGATATAAATTCATGAGGACAGTTGTCTCCTCCAGGTGCCATTCTGAGTTATTTATTCTCTGTTTCCCATAATGTGTAAATATTATTGTCAGTGGCTATGATACATACCTTTATGTGTATGTGCATTTATAGAATATATAATGAATCTGTTTGTATTTATCTTTATCATGGAAAGAATTGGTTGCTTTTAAAAACCTTATGAATCATAAGATTCTTTCATTTTGAGAGGTTATTGAAGAAAACTGTCTATAAAGTCACTTTATAAATCACTAACATTTAACACTTTTGCATTAATTAAGCCTAGAACTATTGATTGCATGGATAAATATCAAGCATATTTGCTTCAAAAATGGTGAGTTCTGTATCTTGAAAGCTGTAATTTATAGATTAGTTTACATTAATTTTGCACATGATATTTATTTTTATAGACTCATTGGAAGAATGTGAAGTACAAACTAATCTGAAAATTTGGAGAGAACCACTCAATATTGAATTTAAGGAAGACAGTCTATCCTATATGGAAAAGTTATGGCTTAAAAAACACAGAAGGTATTTTCTGAAGCTTTGCATTATTAATAAGAAATATAAAAGCTATTTATGTTCCTGGCTTGTGTGACATGCTTTTTTGTAGCAATTTTATATGTGTGCTTCATATTTGCATAAATAATTTTAAAGCAATATTAAATCCCTGTGAAGCTTCTACTGTTCTAATAAGAATTTAAATTTTATTTATATGTGTGATGCACCATTAATTTAGAGTTTGCTAGGAGAAATGCAAATGTGTAGTGAGGAAAAAGGCACAAATATGGTATAGAATTTAAGAATGATAGCAAAAATAATGCAATAAATGAAAGATTACTTTGGAAAGGTATTAATCTCATTTTTTACATTAGCATAAACTTTTGAGACTCTATTTCTCAGAATCTACTTAAGTTAATTAGACCTTTAATATTCTAGTTTTATTAATAGTATTCAATTATTTTATTCAAAGGCTATCTCACTAGATGCATTATTTTATGAATTGTTTAAAAGTTAAACCATTAAATATTGGACCAGAATTACGACTGAGTACATGTCAGAGTCATTCACAATTTTATGATTAAATAAGATCCATATTGGGAGATGCCTTAAAAGGCTCACTTTGCCCTATAGCATTACTGCTTGCACTTTATTATGCCTATGAATCACCTGCAGACTGGCAAAAATATAGATTCTTTTTCAGTAGATCTGGGTGGGGCCTGACACTCTGCATTTCTGAATTTCTAACAGCTACCAGCTGATATTGATGTGGGTAATTCTAGTCTCTGAACTGCATTTTGAGGAGCAATGTGTTGGAGGATCTGTCTAGAATGCATCTGAGGAGTGATCAGCAAGCCCTTGCTTCACCTTCAGCTGTATAAAACTATCTTCTGAGATGGCCCATTCCATCTTTGGAACATTCTGACTGCTGTAATATCTCCTACTGAGCTGTAATTTGTTTCTGACTGGTTTCTAAACGTGGTCTCAACTCTTACCAATTAAGCCAATACAGAGCAAATTGAATTCTTCCTCTCCATGGCATTCCTTCAGATTTTTTAAGTCAGCCCTCATATCTTCCTTGAAACTTCTGTTTGACAGGTTACTTTCTACTCCTATGCTTCTTTAACTGTTTCTCATGTGGCAGATTTCAATATATATATATATATATTTTTTTTTTTTTGAATACCGAGGAGGTGTAAAAGAATATTAAGATTTCCCACATATTCATTCAGCTTTCCACAATGGCAATATCTTACATAACCATAGTGCATGTATCAAAACCAAGAGATTAAAATTGGTACAATATTATTAATTGAACTACAGACCTTTATTGAGATTTCACAGTTTCTCTACTGTCATCCTTATTCCACTTCAGGATCCAATCCAGGATTCCAAATAGTTATTTATTTATTTATTTATTTATTTATTTATTTATTTATTTATTTAAATCAAATCTCCTTCCCCATTATAATTCCTCAGTCTTTCCTTGTCTTTCAAGACCTTGACATTTTTAAAGAGTACTTGCCAGGTGTTTTATAGGATATATTCAATGTGGATCTATCTGATGTTTGTTTGTTTGTTTGTTTTTTTTTATTCGGGTGCATTTTGAAGAAGGACAACACAGAGAGGATATACCCTTCTCACAGGGTCATATTGTCAGTGTATCTTATCATCAAGATGTTAACCTGGTGGTAATGTGGTGTTCGCCAAGCTTCCCCACTGTACACTCATCTTTTCCCTTTGTAAATAATGTCTTGGGCTGTTACACAGAGTACCGTAGACCAGGTAGCTTATGAACACAGACATTCATTTCTCAGTTTCTAAGGATGGGAAGTCCACGATAAAGGTGCCAGCAGATTCAGTGTTTGGAGAGAACCAGCTTCTTGGTTCACAGATGGCCATCTTCTCACTGTATCCTCACATGGCAGAAAGGGCAGAGCATCTCTCTCACAACCCTTTCATAAGGGACTAATCCCATTCATGAGGGCTCTATCCTCATGAGCTTATCTCACAAAGGCCCACCTGCTAACACTATCACTTTGGGGTTAGGATGGTAAATTATGAACTATTCCAAAGAGAGATTTCTGCCCTGGCCCCTGCAAGGTTCATGAATCTCTCACATGTAAAATATGTTTATTCTGTCCTAATAGCCCCTAAAAGTTTCACTTGTTCTAGCGTCAACTCAAGGCTGAAGTCCAAAGTCTCATCTAACTATCATCTAAGTCAGGTATGGGTAAGATTCAGTGTGTGATTCATTCTGAGGCAAATTACTCTCTGTGATGATTTAAATATGTTATGTGCTTCTAAAATATAATGGTGGGACAGGCTTGGGATAGATATTTCCCTTCCAAAGAGGGAAATAGAAAAGAAGAAAGGAGTAGCAGGTTCTAAGCAAGTCTGAAACGCAGCAGGGCCAAATTCTACTAAACCGTAAAGTCTTGAGAATTATCCTCTTCGTTGATGCTCTGCACTCCAAGACCCACTGAGATGGAAGTCTCACCTTCCAGACACACCAGAGTGGGGGTCCTGCCTTCCAGACACACTAAGGCAAGTGTCCCCACAGCTATACTGGGCAGCGGCTGGGCCCCCAGGATTCTGGGTAGCTCTGCTCCCATGGCTTTGGAGGGGGTCCCATTTCTATGATAGCTCTGTGTGGGGTCACACACTGTCAATGGAATTATGGGGCTTTTTTAGCTTGGGGTTACAGGGGCACCCTTGCTCTCATAGTTTCACCAGGCATTGCCCCAATAATTTTCTCTGCCTGGAGCTTTCTGTGCCCATGATGGGAGACATAGCCCTGATGACTTTGGAACTGCCTTTGGAGATCATTTTTCCATTGTCTCTGATAAAAGTCATGACTTCTATTTAGATGGCTCTGACTAATCTCTGGATCAGATGACCCTTTGGCCATATACTTCCTGTTCTCTCCTGAATAGTCCTTCTCATTCCTTTCAATATGAACGTTCTGAGAATTTCACACAAGGTTTTGCTTATCTTTTGATTAATAATTCCATCTTTAAGTCATTTCTCCCTTCTTGCATTTTATTATGAGCAGTCAAGAGAAACCAAGCCTCTCTTTCCATGCTTTGCTTAGAAATTGTCTTAGCCACAGAACTAATTTCATTGCTCGTAAGTTCTACCTTACATTGCTCATAAGGTCTAACTTACGTAAAACACCAGGACACGGGCACAATTCAGCCAAGTTCATTGCCACTTTGTTAATGAAAATTGCTTTTCCTCCAGTATCCAATAATGTGTTCCTTATTTCATTTGATGCTTCAGCAGAATGGTGTTTACCAATCATATTTCTATGGATACTCTGCTCAGGATTGCTTAGGTGTTCTGTAAGAAGACTGAGGCTTTTCCTCGGTTCTCCTCTCACCAGAATTATCTTTAAAGGTTCTTTCATAGCAATATATATATATTTACTAGTACTAACTTTAAACCTCTTTCAACCTGTACTCATCAGTGAGTTCTGAGGCTGCATCCACATTTTTACCAGCACCCCACTGCTGGTACCAATTTCTGTCTTTGTCCATTTGGGATGTTGTAACAGAGTAACATAAACTGAGTAACTTGCAAACAACAAATGGTTATTTCTCAGAGTTCTGGAGGTTGGAAGGCCAAGATCAAGATACTGGCAGACTCAGAGTCTAGCAATAGCCTGCTTTCCGGTTCATAGGAGGCCATCTTTTTGTTGTGTCCTTACGTGGGTCTTCTGGACCTCTTCTGTAAGGGCATCAGTACCACATGGGGCTATACCTTCATGACTTCATCATCTCCCAAAGACCCCATCTCTCTCTCTTTTTTTAAGGATTAAAAAAATATATTCATGAGAGAAAGAGAGAGAGAGAGAGAGAGAGAGAGAGAGAGAGACAGGCAGAAGGAGAAGCAGGCTCCATGCAGGGAGCCTGATGTGGAACTCGATCCAGGGACTCCAGGATCATGCCCTGGGCCACAGGCAGGCGTTAAACCACTGAGCCACCCAGGGATCCCCAAGACCCCATCTCTTAATGCCATCACATTGGGTGTTAGGATCTCAACATATGACTTTTGTGAGGGGGCAGGCACATTCCTATCATAGTAATTAATAAAGGTTTTAGGGGAGATATCTTGAGGTGATATAAAATCCTGTTTTTCCTTAAACTTTCCCCTACTAATTTTACTATATCAGTGGATTTTGTCAGCAGCAGAAAAACTGGGATTTTCTGTTTCCTTTATTTCTTCTATACTTATTAATGAGAATCCTTCAGGGAGAGACTATCCCTCCCCCCTTTCATTTATTTATTGTTTATTTGTGGGGACTCATGGATATGTATTTTATTTTTTGGATTAATATTCCATACTATTGTTATTTATTTTATGACTCAAATGGTTCCTGGCTTGACCACTGAGAGCTGATTCAGGTTGACTCCACTCTGCTTTCAATGTAGTCTCCTCCTTTTTTGTTTGTTGGTTCATTTGCTCGAAACATCTCTTCATTTTTCTGACACCCAAGATGCATTTCCGTGCCCTAGCCCAGATATAATTTTCCAACTAATCTTAATTCCTTTTTTTTTGGGAAAATGGAGTTCAGAAAGCTCTGGATTACAGGTATGATCATGGTTACACAGGTACCACAGAGCCTAGGTCTTCTCAGAGAACATCTAGGAAATATATGCATGTATACTTACCCACTACACACATGCAACCAAATTTATTTCTGTATCTGTCTACTTGAGCATCTGTTAAGTAAACGTGAGTGTACACTCATACCTCTGAGTACAAACCAGCATCACGTTCTCCCTTTGCTTATTTGTAGTTTCTTTCACCCTCAGTGAGAATCTTGACTTTCATTATCTATGATATATTTGTTCATTTATCATCTCTAGAGTGTTTGTGTGTATACATATATATGCGCATATATATAGTAGTTTCAGAATCGCAAACTAATATTACTATGAGAAAAAAATTTACCAACTACAGTACCTTGCTTTTGTGTAGTGCTTTTTATCTTTAGCTCACCGTATCCAGTGAAGATATTTTTCTCTAGAGTTGCTGAGGCCACGACCCTCATTTCTTTCCTACCTCCTTTAGAATCATTTTGCCATTCACTCGGTTATATCCATATCCCCAGTACTTTTAAAAATTTGAATAGCACAAATATGTGTACGGCTCTGTGGGTTTTTACAAATGCCTGGAGTCAAGCATAGTTCACCATAGTACTAAACAGCACGGTTTTATTGCCCCCAAATTCCCTTTTGCTTCCCCTTTTGTAGTCGATCCTTTTCCCCCAACACATGGTAACCATCAATCTGTTTCCATCCATACACATTTGCCTTTTTCCGGATGTCAGGTAAATGAGACCACACGATATGTAGCCTTTGTGTCCTTTCTTCAGCTAAATGCATTTAAGAATCATCTGTGCTCTTCAGTGAATTGAAATCCTTTTTTTTTTAATCGTGGAGGAGAATTTCATCATCCTCATGTACAGTTTATCCATTAGTCTGTTGAAGAACTTCCTGCTGATTTCTGGGTTTCTGTGGCAAATATGAATAAATCTGTAAGAAACATTTGCAAATAGGTTTTTCTTTGAATATAAGTTTTTAATTCCCTGGGTAAATGCCTGGGCTGGGATGGCTAGATCATGTGGTAAGTGAATGTTTATCTTTATGAGAAACGATCAGACGATTTCTGCAAAGCAAATGCACAGTTTGCATCCTTTCCCACAATGTATGAGTTCTGATTCCTTTCCATCTTTGCCAGTTCCTGGTGTTTTCAGGGTTGTTTGTTTGTTTGTTTGATGGTGGTTATTTTAATAGGTGTATAGCTCTGGCCCATTGTGGTTTACGTGGCAGGGCTTTAAGTTCATTCATATACTCTTATGTTTATTCCCATGCAACTCTACTAGGGTGTCCATATCTCATGTAAAGTGCAATGCCCATGACAGTCTTTTAGATATGAAACTCAGTAGTGGATACTGGTCAGTTAGTCAATGTTCAATAAATATTTGTTTAAATTTTGAGGAAAATATGATGAGGTCATCTTATTCTAAAAGGTATTTCACCTTTTATTTATGTGGCGTGGTCTTTCAAGCAAGCATTGGTGCCAGGGTCCCCATATCCAGAATATAGACCTCATTCATTGACCAGTTGTTTGTTCATGGGCAAATCCCATAAAATATGTTGGTCTACATTTTTTTTTTCATCTACAAAATATGGAGTTTAGAATATACAATCAAGGGCAGCCCCGGTGGCTCAGTGGTTTAGTGCCGCCTTGGGCCCAGGGTGGGATTCTGGAAACCCGGAATGGAGTCCCATGTTGGGCTCCCTGAATGGAGTCTGCTTCTCCTTCTGCCTGTGTCTCTGCACCTCTGTCTCTCTCTATGTCTCTCATGCATAAATAAATAAAATCTTAGAAAAAAGAATATACAATCAATAGTTCCAATACTCTATTGTCTAGACTCTCTAAACCTTTAGTTCAGGACTTTGCTCATAAAATTAGATCAATTTTTACTTCAGAAAGAAGGAGTTCTGGATAATAGTATATTCATGTGCATCTATGATAGATTTTTTTTTTTTGTATAGTATATCTGTGTCAAACTGGAAAGAGGTTTCTGGTGGCCAGGTGCCAGTTTGTTTTGACCTTTATTCTTTAATATTTTCCATCACTTAATTAAATTATAGATGTAAGATGTCTTACTCATCAAATTTGTTAAGACACAAAGCTGAATAATATATAAATATTTTGGAATGTTCTGATATATACATGATATATATTGAGAAAATGAACATAGCTATTGATTGCCAGATTATCAACTTTTATTGCCTTTGTGAGTTGGGAGAGGCCATATAGAGTAAATAATGGTTAAGAACATTGACCTGGGGAGGTCGACTCCTTGGGTTCAAATTCCTCTTCTGTATTTACTACCTGAATGACTCTGAACATATTGGGTTACCTATTTATGTCTCTGTTTTCTCATCTTTAAAATTAAGATAATACTGGTGCCTATTTAATATACCTAGTAATATTTAACATCTCAAATTACTTAGAATAGGGCCTGGTACATTCTAAGCTTTGTATCAATGCTATATACTATTATCATTAAGAAGGCCCTGACTTTTACATGAGGACTCTGTGAGCTGGCATGGCCTGGAAGGCCTGTAGCTACTTACTTGATTGAAAAGTGTCACCTTCCCAGTAATTTGGGAATATCCTCTAGAGCCAGATATATAATCTTGACCTCTGAGAATTCCTGTGTTTTGTTGTCAATAAGAGATGGGCCATATGAGACCTCATTAATTGGTTAATAAATGCAACAACCAGAACACACTACATTCATATGATGGCAACAGATTTTATCACCCTGCTGCCTTGGTGAAGGTTTAGAAGAATGTCTTTAGGTTCCCCTAGAACCTATCAACATAATACCTAGGCTGTGATATACAACGCACTTTCATAAATCAGTGTTTTTTTTTTTTTTTAAGATTTCTTTATTTCAGAGAGAGACTATAAACAATGGTAGGGGCAAAGGGAGTGGGAGAGAGAGAATCCTCAAGCAGATTCCCTCCTAAGCACAGAGGCTGATGCAGGGCTTACTTAGTCGTAGGACCTTGATATCATACCATGAGCTGAAACCAAGAGTCGAGCGCTTAATGACTGAGCCACCCAGGTGCCCCCATAAATTAGCTTTTGAAAGCAGGTAGTGTGTTTCATGGACTACATGTGGCTTCTGCAAGAACACTGACCTCTGTCATAACTTTGATTTTCATCCTAAATGAAAAACAGTAGGACATGCAGTTGAAAAATCTTGTGTGATGTTAATTTGGTTTACAAAATTATTTTAGTAGATTAAGGTTCTGTTATACAATCATACTTCTGTGAATTAGAAGTATTAACTTTGGTTTCATCATTAATTTTGTATACTCACTCGTTTGTGTAATAAATCAAGATCTTGTCTAGAAAAATTTCAGATAATGTATTTCAGTCTTTTAATTACTTCTTTCTTGTTTCGTAGAACTCCACAGGAGCAGCTTCGAAACATGCTACCAGATACATTCATACCTCAGTGTAAAACTGCTAGTGAGGCAAAGTGTTCCCAGAATGAAAGTGATGAAGACAGTGATGGTTAGTTCACCCTTTATTAGATATCTTCTAATTTATTATTTCAAATTTTACATGCTAAGCTTTAGTCAGCATCTGCTTTTGTGTTTTGTTTTATTTTCTTACTATATTATCCTCAACTGGACTATGCACCTTTTGACTCTAGGTCAGAATCAGGCATGCTCCTCTTCCTATTCAAGACATGTACTTTGCCTTAAATTAAATAATTTTATTTATTTAAATATTGAGTGTTAAGAAAATGTGTATTTTACCTGAGCTGGGAAAATTGATAGCATTTACATATTAGCATGGATGGATGCACAAGAGAAAGTTATTCCTTTATTGTTGACTATGATATTTGAAGATAGGGAATTATCAGGTGAAGTATATTCCTTGATGATATTATTTCCTAATCTTATTTCCTAGTTGAGGAGACCAAAGTACAACACCCAGCACTTTTTCTGCCAGTAGAAGAATTAAAGGTAGAGAGACCCGAACCATCTCTAAAAATAGTCGAACTGGATGATGTAAGTGCATAATGACTACTCTCTTACTTAACAAACAAGAAATTCATAACCTACAGCCACAACTACATATTATTTTCAACAAGAGTTTTTTTCATAATTCAATACTGTTGGGAAGAAAATTTACAAGAATTTGAATTTAAATATGCTGAAAGAATAAAACAATATTATTTTCAATGTAGGCAGTAAGTCTGGGGGCTGTACTGTTATTGTGGCATTTTTGGAAGCTTGTATTGTGGCTGAAGGGTTAAATTTTGACAAACTCAGCACATTTCTGACTTTCTAATCATCTAGTAGCTGAATGTACTACTTGTCCTGGATAGTTTTCTCCCTGTGGTTGTCACAGAAAAAGACTAGAATGGAAGTACCTCTTTAAATACTACTTTCTTCTCAAGGTTAATAGCTCCTGTTCTGTCTGCATGTGTGCCTAGCAACATTTTAATTCCCCTCTGGATAAGTTTAAGATATTGAACAAATAAGCACATGTGCTCACATGTGTGTGTGTGCTTGTCATCATTTTGTTGATGCATAGAGTAAGCCCATAACATGTTGTCCCTAAAAACATTTCAGTCACTAGCCTATTTGGCACGCAGTAGTTACATAATAAAACAGCTATTATTATTATCTCCAGGTGTGTTATAATACTGATAAAATGGCTGACACAGCAAATGGCCTCAACAAAGAGTTGCTGAATTTGTTTAGTTCTTCTAGAATTAATGTTCTATGGCACGTAGTCAGAAAGCCCATGACGTTATTTATAGGAAAAAAAAATTCTCTAAATATTACATACAAGTTAGCTTGTTAATGTAGAGTCCACTTATTGAACATACTAATATTATACTATATGCATTTAATAAGACTTATGAAGAGGAATATGAAGAACCAGGAGACATAGTGCCCTACAAAGTTGAGTTGGCAGATGCAGACAGTCAAAAAAGGTAAGATCTTTCTAATTCATTTTTTTTAAGTTAAGTTTCACTTTTTTTTTTTTTTAAGATTTTATTTATTCCTGAGAGAGACAGAGAGAGAGAGAGGCAGAGACACTGGCAGAGGGAGAAGCAGGCTCCATGCAGGGAGCCTGACATGGGACTCAGTCCTGGGTCTCCAGGATCATGCCCTGGGCCGAAGGTGGCGCTAAACCGCTGAGCCGCCTGGGTTGCCCCATCTAATTCATTTTTTGATGCTTATTAAAAAACCTACCCCCTCAAATCAACTATTGCTTTAAATGAGAAATTCACGATGTAAAAAATATGTGATTTCAATGTTAGAATATATTTTACAAAGTCGTGTCTATTTTATTTTTTTCAAAGTCGTGTTTAAACTTGTGTGTAATATTGATAATATTTGCCAACATTCAATAATTAGAAAAGTGGCTATAATGATATGTTTATATTCTTACCTAATATCTGGATTACTTAATGGATACTTCTGAATTTAACATTATTATTTGAAATTACTTTACCAAGGATGACATATATCATATGAGGTTTCTTCTTTTCGCCAAAGATACTCTTTGAATTTGTCTTATTTCAGTTTGCTATGATCCTTAAATAAAAACACATATTAATGATTAGTTAGACATAAAAAATTCCCAAACTATAGATTTTTACGAGGCAGATTTTCCTATGTGATAAATAAATTAAGTATAATGGTTCACGTTGTAACTTTTTTTTTTTTTTTAGAATTGTGTCATTTGCAAGTGAAAAATAATATCTAGCTATATCTGTTAGTAATGATAAAATGACTCCAGGTCTCCTTTGCTGTTGAAACTTTGGCTAGGGTTTCATGTGTTTGGACTACAGAGTATTAAATTAGGTAAACAGCTGAATGAAGTTCCCATTTAGTAGCCCCTACACCAGTTTTTGTTTATATGTTCAGATCAACTTAGGCTTTGTCAGCATTTTGGAACAACAGTGGGCCTAAGTGAAGCACTTAGATCTGAAAAGCCCCATGTTTGGACCCAGATATTTAGCAGAAAATGTGCTTTTGGTAGGAGATAATCTTTCAGACAGTAGATAAGAGATTTATATGGGCTACCATATTACTAAGGAAATGAATGACATCTCTGCTCTCTAATTTGATTCTTTTGTATATCTTTTTTTAAATTTTTTTAGAATTTTGGGATCCCTGGGTGGCACAGCGGTTTAGTGCCTGCCTTTGGCCCAGTGCGCGATCCTGGGGACCCGGGATCGAATCCCACGTCGGACTCCCGGTGCATGGAGCCTGCTTCTCTCTCTGCCTGTGTCTCCGCCTCTCTCTCTCTCACTGTGTGCCTATCATAAATAAATAAATAAAAATTAAAAAACATAAAAAAAATTCAAAAAAATTCAAAAAAATTCAAAAAATTAAAAAAATTAAAAAAAATTTAAAAAATTTAAAAAAAATTAAAAAAAAAATTAAAAAGGGATCCCTGGGTGGCGCAGCGGTTTGGCGCCTGCCTTTGGCCCAGTGCGCGATCCTGGGGACCCGGGATCGAATCCCATGTCGGGCTCCCGGTGCATGGAGCCTGCTTCTCTCTCTGCCTGTGTCTCTGCCTCTCTCTCTCTCACTGTGTGCCTATCATAAATAAATAAAAATTAAAAAAAAATTAAAAAAATTAAAAAAATTAAAAAAAAAATTCAAAAATTAAAAAAAAATTTAAAAAATTTTTAAAAATTTAAAAAAATTTAAAAAAAACTAAAAATAATTTTTAAAAAATTAAAAAAATTAAAAAAATTTTTTTTAAATTTTTATTTATTTATGATAGGCACACAGTGAGAGAGAGAGAGAGGCAGAGACACAGGCAGAGAGAGAAGCAGGCTCCATGCACCCGGAGCCCGATGTGGGATTCGATCCCGGGTCCCCAGGATCGCGCCCTGGGCCAAAGGCAGGCACTAAACCACTGCACCACCCAGGGATCCCCTCTTTTGTATATCTTATCACAAATCCTGCTTTGACCTCCATTTAGGGTGTTACAGAAGGCAGAGAAAGTTACTAATCATGGTTTGGCAATGATTTTGCATCTTGAGTTTGGAAGGGCCTGTAGAGTTTCTTCTTTTCTGAGAAGAATCATAAAGGGATCATAAGTGACATGGAGCATAATACAGTTTTTTGGTGGTACTATGTAAAGCTTACATAAATATTGAGAATTATTAAATATGTTATTCAATTCACAGAAAATGTTATTTAAAATTTACATATGCTAGTATAAAGTGATCATTATTAAAATTGAAAATAAATATCACATATGGCTTTTTTATTCTGATAGTTCATTGATGAAGAAAACGTTTATTTAAGTAATAAAACACTGATTTCTTTTTTTTCAACATACAAAAATCAATTTTATTTCTATATGCCAGCAACACATATAACATCAAATTTAAAGAATAATGCCATTTACAATAGGACAGAATAAATCAAATACATAAAACACTGATTCCATCAGATTTCAATGAGCTTGAAAGATTACTCTCCATTTTTAGAGGAAGGAATATAAGGAACCAAACTCATTTCAGAATATTATTTAAAAGAAGCTTTCAATTGACATCATTCAGTTGAAGCAGATTTGGACCAGTTGCCTGTTTCTTTAAAAGCTGTAATACTACTACATGTGGTTTTAGAATGTGTCCACAATAAGGTTAAAAAATAAATTAATTAATGTGAATAATTCTATTCCCTCAAGGTTTTACTCTATTTGTTTTAATAAAACAAATGGGACTTTTAACTTTCTTTTATATATCATTTCTTTCAACTCTTCTCTTTTGCTTGTCCCTAAACACGAAAGTTGCACATTTCATGATTATCAGAATACTTTTCTGTATGAAAATGACATCTATCAACATCATGTTTTCACCAAGGGAAAAACAGACCTCTTACATCTTCATCTGAACAACAGCTCTTCTTATGGTAAAAATAACTCAAAAGGTAATTTTTTTCTTGTGGATTAATATTATTAACAATGAATGTTGGCAAGTTAATAAAACCAGGAGGTATTGCAATATGTAGAAGCTTTATCACTATGCCATTCATTCTAAAACCAGAAAATTTAGTACTTAGAAAAACTTGGTTGAAAATATATAATTTTCTAGCAAATACTCTTTTCAGTCAATGGACAGCAGTGTTTATATTCAGAAGAAAAGCAGCCACTGTTGGTTGTCTCTAAAAGTTATTATGGACCGAGCTAGCTAGCATTTAAAAGATAACATGGGTGGACTTTTTACATCACTTACATGGATGATGAAAATCTAATTGGCACCCTGTTGCCCTCCCTTGCATTAAATTTTCTCTCAAAATATTCAGATTTGATGTAAAGTTTCACGTAAGTGATAAAACCAAACCAAAACAAATCGTTGTGTTTATATATCCACATTGTTATTACTAGTAGATTCCTTAGAATTTATAGTTTAGAATGCTGTGTGCAAATGTCTGATTTCAATTTCCAGATGGGGAGAGCATCATTTAAAGACACTCACAATAAATTATCTTGGTCTGGGAGTCCAATTTCATTTCCCTTTCTGCCTTAAATCATTGTGTGATCTTGAACACGTCACTTGCTTTCTTAGATGGCATTTTCCTAAGCTAAAACATAGGAACTTGATTGTTTCTAATCTGCCTTTCAAATATTATTTTTAACCTATGTAGGATTTTCAGAAAAATGAATAAATATATCTTATATTAAGGATTGAGAGATACCTGAGAGCATTTTTTTAAAAAACTAGTTATAAAACTGATGATTACATTCTGATTGGGTAGTAGATGGCAGAGAAACATGATTTGTGGTAATCCTGCTGGTCTTGACATCTTTAACTAATAAGCCTCTAAATCATTATGACCAACTGTGAACTATATCCATATGGGTATTTAGGACTTTGCATGGCTCCAAAAAGTTTTTTTTTTTTAACCTACCTGGAGCATGATATTCCAGTTGCCTTTGGGAACATGCTGAATATAAATACCCATTGAGTGTTACATTAAAGATACTTGATTTATGTAAATAGACTTTACTTTTTAGAGCAGTTCTGGGTTCACGGCAAAACTGAGTAGGAAATACAGATCGTTCCCATACACACTCTGCTTTCACAAACTCATAGCTTCTCTCATTATCAAGATCCCAAACCAGAGTAGTATGTTTGTTACAATCAACAAACAGATTTACACACTGTTATCACCCAAGGTCCATAGTTCACTTTATGGTTCAATCTTGGTATTGTACATTCTGTGGGTTTGAACAAATTTATAATGACATGTATCCACCATTATAGAATCATAAAAAATTGTTATAGTGCCCTAAAAATACTCTGTGCTCTGCCTTTTAAATTACCTCCCTCTCTCCTAACTCCTGGCAACCACTGATCTTTTTACTTTATAGGTTAGCCTTTTGCAGAATGTCACATAGCTGGAATGATAGAGTATGTAATCTTTTCATACTGGCTTTTTTTTCCACTTAGTAATGTGCACTTAAAGGTGACTCCATGTCTTTTCATGGCTTGATGGCTCCTTTTTTTTTTTTTGTACTGAATCATATTTCAGTGTTTGGACGTATCACAATTTATTTAGACATTTACTTATTGAAGAACAATTTGGTTGATTCTGAGTTTTGGCAATTCTGAATAAATGTGCTATAAACATCCACATATATTTGAACATAACTTTTCAACTCATTTGGGTAAATACCAAGGATTGTAATTGTTAGATCACTTGGTAAAAATATGTTTAATTTTGTAGGAAATCACCAAACTGTCTTCTAAAGTGGCTGTACCATTTTGCATTCCCACCAGCGATGCATGAGACTTCCTGTTCTCCACATACTTGCCAGCATATGATATTGTCAGTGTTTTGGATTTTCGTCATTCCAAAAATTGTGGAGTGGATTCCATTGTTGTTTTAACTTGCAATTCCCTAATGGCATATGATATGGAACATAATTTTATATGCTTATTGCCATATACATCTATTCTTTGATGAAGATATGAAGGTCATTGACCCATTTCTTAATTGAGTTTTCCATTTTCTTACTGTTGAGATTTTAGATTTTTTAATATTTTGGATAATGTACTTCAACAGATATGCATTTTGGAACTATTTTCCCTAAGTCTTCGGTTTATCTTCTCATTCTTTTAGCAATTCTTTTACAGAACAGATTTTTAATTTTAATGAAGTTCAGCTTACCAATTATTTCTATCATGGGTTCTGCCTTTGGTGTGTGTCTTAAAAAGTCATCACCATACCCAAGATCATCTAGATTTTTATGTTCTAAGAGTTTTATAGTTTTGCATTTTACATTTAGATCTATCATTCTTTGGGTTAATTTTTGTGAATGGTGGAAGGTCTGTGTCCAGATTAACTTGGGGGCATGTGGATTTGCAGTTCTAGCACCACTTGTTGAAATAGCTATCTTTTCTCCATCATTTTGCCTTTGCCGTTTGGCAAAGATCAGTTGACTATATTTATGTAGGACTAACTATGGATTCTCTGTTCTGTTGCATTGATCAGTTTTACTATACTTTTACCAATACCACATTGTCTTGATTGCTGTAATTGTATAGTAATTCTTGAAATTGTGTAGTGTCATTATTCTCCTTCCTTATTGTGTTAGCTTTTCTGGCTCTTTTGCTTCTCTGTAAAACTTTAGAACCAGTTTATCAATATCCACTAAATAACTTGCTGGAATTTTAATTGGGATTGCATCGAATCTATGATCAAGTTGGAAAAAAGTGACATTTTGGCAATATTGAGTCTAACTATCTGTGAATATGGACTATTTTTCCTCTTATTTAGTTCTTTGATTTCTTTCATCAGAGACTTCTAGTTTTCCTTATATAGCCCTTATACATGTTTTGCTAGGTTCATTCTTATGTATTTCGTTTTTTGCATGATGATGGCATTGTTTTATTAATTTCAAGTTTTACTTATTCATGTTGGCATGTAAGAAAGTGATTAATCTGTGTATCTTGACCTCCTATTGTGCAGCCTTACTATAATAACTTATTAATTCCAGGGGTTTTTTGGTTGTTTCTTTCATATTTTGTACATAAACAATTATGTCAGCTGTGGACAAAATTAGATTTATTTCTTCCTTCCTGATCTGTATACTTATTTCCTTTTCTTGTTTTATTGCATTAGCTAGGACTTCTAGTATGTTGTTGGAAAGGAGTTGAAGGGGGGACATCCTTAACTTTTTCCTGATTTTAGGGTTAAAGCATCTGGTTTATCATCATTAAGTATGATATTAACTATAAGGCTTTTATAGATTGTCTTTATCAAGTTGAGGAAGTTCCCTTTTATTTCTGGTTTGCATCTACTGATATGATCTTATGATTTTTCTTCTTTAGCCTGTTGATGTGACAGATTAGATTAATTGATTTTTAAATCTTAAACCAAGACATCTGGTTTTTATAACTTAATGGGACTTTCAATGAAGTCCCATAGACTAAATTATTTTTTTTTAAGATTTTATCTATGTATTCATGAGAGACACACAGGGAGAGGCAGAGACACAGGCAGAGGGAGAAGCAGTCTCCCTGGGGGAGCCTGATGTAGGACTCGATTCAAGGACCCTGGGATCATACCTGAGCCGAGGGGAGACACTCAACCACTGAACCACCCAGGTGCCCCTGAATAGACTAAATTAGATCATGCCTATACTTTCTGCATTACATTTTAAAGATTATTAAAAGGCTGCTTTGTCACCTCTTCAGTAGCAATTGATCCTCAGAGTGGAATTTTGCAAACTTCCAAAAATATTGCAGAGGTTAGTTGTAGACATTTAAATATAGGAAATGGCATCTCTTTGCACCAAAAAAAAAAATGAACTAATTTCTATTCAAGTTTAGGAGGAAAATACAGCTTATAATGGAAATTTCCTTAAACTGAACAGCTTTTATGAAGTTTTCTCTGATGTACAAGTTACCATATTTCTCATAGTACTTCTGTGATTTAAGAGGTGATAGTTGTTGGAAATGGAGGTTCTAAATGCTATGTGTAATTGCCGAGCTATACAAACATCTGATTGCAACGAGTAAGTCCTTTGGGCAGCAACGCAGAATTTACATCACTGGAGAGTATTTTAGTCATAGCCTTTACCATTTTATATCATCTATTTATAGAGATAAGATATTTATATTGGAAAGAGCATAGGGATAATCAGATGAAGCTGTATTCAATCTGGATAATGATATACATATTTTTATTTAAAATGATTGCAATATGGTGCAAAAAATTGTTAAAGAATTTTTATTCTTCACAAAATTTAGACCAATATTTCACAATCCGGCTGCACATTATAATCACCTGGAGAACTTGGTGGAGGGAGGTGGAAAAAAACAGTGCTTGAAACCCATTCCCAGCATCTGATTTAATTGGTTTGGGTCAGGCTCATCCACTGACAGTTTTAAAGAGTACCTTCGGATGATTCCATTGTGCACCCAGGTTGAAAACCAATGATCTAAAGCAACTCTTTATTTAAAGCAGACATAATGAGGTGGTGACTAATATAATCTTGCTCATTTTGTAGCTTTCCAGAGGCAGGTGTCCCAGCCTAAACATTTTCTGTGCCCCTAACTGGTACTGTTCTTTCATCTGCAGATTTCCCCTTGCCCTCACCTCATCACTAGACATGCCAAGAAAAAGAGGCAAAATGTGGAAATAAGGTTTTCTCTGCATTATTTTTCATAAATTGCTATTGCAAAACTTGAGCAGGAGAGAATGTAGGAAAGTGAGAATTGACCCACAGGCTGAAATAAAAATGTGCATCAATTTTGAGATTTCATTACAAAATAAAATCTTACCTCCTTCCATTAGTCTAACTCATTAAGGTCTGAATACATCAGTAAATCATGATTATCATTTAAGACATAAGCAGAGTAAAAGTATTTTAACACTGAGATCTCAGTAAAGAAATGTTGATAAAATAGTGCTTATTGACAAAAAGGTTTACACCACAGAAGTATTGGCTTATTTGACAGTTTTATCAACTTATTTAACTTTTGTAAATGATTGTTTTCAACACCAGGAGCTTCAAATGCAAAATTTGACACCATCGTGGATCCTGATGTTTATTCTCCTGCCACTGAGAAGTTAGGGGAAAGCAGCTTTTTTGAAAGAAATTTCAAGGAGAAAACGATAGATATGAAAAGCAATCAAAAGTCTGATGATTCCTGTGTATCACTTGAGAGCAAGGATTCTTTGCCAAGTATAGATTTAGAAAAACCTTCCATTAAGGAGCAATTATCTGAGGACATCAAAGAATCCTTGGAATTTAGCAATCTGCATGAGAGGCCAAACTTTGAAGATTCTAAAACTACAGAGTCACCACTGGTAAATCTCTTATTATGTTGATTATATTAAAATTTTTATAAGAAATGTCACAGAAAAATTTTATATTGACATAATATATTCTTAAATATTACTACCTATTGAAGTTAAAATGTACTACTTTATATTATCATGAGATGGTAGCAGAATGACTCATATAGGAAAGAATGTTAATGACCTACAGGACAAATTCTAATATGGTAAATGCCATTATAACAAACGGTTTTCTGTGACAAATAACACTTTAAGGCCCACCTCATGTACCATGGTAAGAGAGCTGTTACTTTTCTAAATGAAATTTATTATTATGAATAATTTAATATAATAAATCCTTTCTAGCTTTTTACTGTATAGCCACTGGTTAAAATGAAATAAGTGCAGATATGTAGATAGAACCAGTCTTTGTGGCTTAATGTAAGTATAAGGTTTTAAAGGCAATTCCTTCAGAAACATGGCTAATAAAGAGATAGGGTATAGTTTTCATTTCATCTTAGAGAAAAAGTAAAGTAGCTCATTGTTGTGTTAATGCCAAGTTTTGAAAGTATATTTGAATCTCTGTTCTATATATTAAAAATCTTAGGTAATCATGATTACCTAATACATTTTTTTTGGAAATTAGGCAAGTCAAATATTTTAGCAGCCCTTCAAAGTCATTCAAAATGAATCTCCTTGGTGCATAAGGTGAAGGTGGGACCAAAAACATAGAAGAATGGATTTTGAGCCGCTACTACTTCTGCTTGGGGGACTGGATTTGTGCCCACTTTGTGATGGGTCTTCTTCCTTTTTGAAGTGTAAAATTGGAACTGAGACCTTCGTAGAAACTTGTTCCCTAGACGTCTTCTCAGTCACTAAAGGAATACCCTGGGAGACACATTCACAGATACAGCAAGATAAGAGAAACTGGTTTCTGCAGAGGATCTGGGCCAGCTCAATAAAATATATTACCTGAAAAATGGAAAACTTGGGCTTTCATGTAACATAGGTTTATAGTTTATTTATTTTTTTTAAAAAGGTTTTTTATTTATTTACGATAGTCACAGAGAGAGAGAGAGAGAGGCAGAGACACAGGCAGAGGGAGAAGCAGGTCCCATGCACCGGGAGCCCGACGTGGGATTCGATCCGGGGTCTCCAGGATCGCGCCCTGGGCCAAAGGCAGGCGCCAAACCGCTGCGCCACCCAGGGATCCCGGTTTATAGTTTAAATACATGTTTCTTGCCTAGAAACTCCAAGCAAACAAATTCACACACACACACATATATATATGTGTGTGTATATATATATATATACACACACATATATATATTAAGATTTTATTCATTTATTTGACAGAGAGAGAAAATGAGAGAGAACAAGCAGGGGAAGCTGCAGGCAGAGGCAGAGGGAGAAGCAGGCTCCCCACTGAGGAGGGAGCCTGAAATGGGGATCCATTCTGGGACCCTAGGATCATGATGAGCCAAAGGCACATGCTTAACCGAATGAGCCACTCAGGTGCCCCAAATTCACATTGATTTTAATCCATATTTATTGATACCTTAATGTGTCTGCCAGAAGAAATCCAATCCCTTCTAGAAGGCATTCTTACAATTTAGCTGATAATAGATATCAAAAACAAAGCCTCATTGCAGATGAACTCTTCTTCCTCTCAGTGAAGAAAACAATCACAGAATGAATTTCTGCAAACAGAACTCTAATTTTCCAATTTCCATATGGCATTATGAAGAAGGCTGTGTGACAACCTATGGGAGGAGAATTAAGTGTCGTATTATGGGAGGAGAATTCTGAGCATATGGGCCCCAATTCTTTTATACTTTTATAATTCTTTTATACAAACCTGCTTGACCTGTGCCCTAGGAGGAGATATTCTCTTCTGTAACCTAATACAAAACATTTGGCCAGAACTCACGGATATGTAATCTGTAATTTGCATAATGGAAGGCAATCTAGCAGCTAAAATGATTGAAATAGAACTATTTTTACTTATATGGATACATCTCAAAAATATGAAGTGAAAATTTAAACATAAAAGGACACATAGGGATAGGTCAGTATTTTTGGAAATATTTAAGCCAATTATAACTTTTTATGGACACATTTAGATATATTAATAATCAAAATATGCATTGGAGTAGACTATGTCCACTTCAGTACAATAATAAAATTAGCTCTAAGGACTAATTTTTTTTGGTATGGATATCTGAAGCAAATATTTTTTTAAAGATTTTTATTTATATGGGGGGGAGGGGCAGAGGGAGAGAGAATCTGAAGCACACTCCACACTGAGCGTGGAGCTCGACACAGGGCTTGATCCTGCTACATCATGACATCATGACCTGAGCCAAAACCGAGAGTCAGATGTTCAACCAGGCCCCCCCTGAAGCAAATATTTTAAATTATTGATACTCAATTGTGTGATCAAGTCATGTTATATGTAATACATATCTACATATCTAAAGTATTTCATAGTTAAAATTGAAATGTTACAAATCTACTAACCATATTTTGATTTCTTATACTACTACTGTAAAAAAAAAAGGTAAATGGTTATGTCATAGAGAATGGTGCTTTATAGAATCTACTCTGTTTTCATCCGTGATGACTAGACCTGAACTGTCTTTATTCTCCTCCTGTTCTAGTGGAAGTCATTCCTTGAGCAGAGACTACTTAAAAATCTATTTTGCTGCAGTAGAAAATTTAAAAGTGAGCAGTAGGGGCAATTTTTAGCAGTAGAATTACTTGACTTTCACTTGAGTGCACAATAGTTCATTTTACACTTCAGTTTTCAGAAACTGAGTCCTTTATCAAGGTGGAGACTATGAAATTAAGTACCAAGCTGTAGAGCAGCCACAGTGGGGTAGGGTCAGGTGCCAGGAGGACCATGGACTAGTTAGGGACTCTTGATTTTGGATCTGAAACCACCAGCAGTTAACTTTGGGAAACAAACCAACCCACATTCTTTGTTCTTATCTCTCAACTGACACCAAAAAAAAAAAAAAAAAAAAAAACCAAGTTCCAGATCTGCAGTTGTCTAATTCACATAAGAGCTTCACTAGAACTGAGGAGGTGCTGTAAATTGATAATCCGTGTCTGGGACAGCCAGTGAAGATGTCCTGAGTAGAGCCAACTTGGACTTGTCTTTGAAGGAGGTGCTTTATCGGTCCCTAGCTTTATTTTATAACATTTTATCATTTATATGACATAAATTTGAATTGAGTTATAATAATTTTTGTGTTATTAGTGCCTTGAAACAGACTGCATTTCGGTATAATTCAATCCATTAGGGAACTGGTAAATGCTGAGAGCACTCTGATTATGTCTTAAACCCATCTAGAGCTCTCACTTCTGAATCTCTAATCTGGTTCTTTCTTACTAGACTCATGTATGTTTTAATCCCATTAATATTCTTTCCTAGGATGAAAGCATATGGCAAAATGAATTCAGAGGGTGGGGATATAAACCTAGCCTTCAAATCAGCCCGAACCTAGGCCTGCTAGTTTCTAATCATTATGAACTTCTCAAATCGCATAGTTTGCTCTTGCCTCAATTTATTACATGTATATTTGCTTCATGATGAGTATTTTGTTAACTTGGGTTTTGTCTATGACCACATTTATTCTCCTTGGTATTCTGTTTTCATCTTTGAAATTAGTTTATGTATCAGCAAAGGTACTAATTCAAAAGCACAGCACATAAGGGAGACTCTGTTTTCCAGAGTAACTCATATGCAAAGACACTGAAGGGAAGAAAATAAAAGAAGGGAGAAGGGAGAACTTCTTGTTTGGTGAACTTCCGTCCTCCTCGAATCAATGGCAACTTTTGGCTAATTACTATAATTGCAGTTTATATATTTTTCTAATCTTACTATATATAAGTGTTGCGTTATCGTCTATGTCTTCGCCATTAGAACCTAAATTTGATGAGGGCAGAATTAGTGCCAAGAACATAATAGGTGCTCAATGAATGAATGTGCTGCTTTGTTTTGATGAGATAAACTTAATTTTGTTGAATATTTTGTTTCCTAGTTGTTACAAGAAATAGCCCTCAGAAGTAAGCCTATAACTGAACAATATCAAGGACTTGAAAGATTCTTTGTTTTTGATAACAATGAAAGACTCAACTTACTTCCTTCTCATAGCTTAGAATGCAGCTATTCCAGTACTAGGATGACAATTGCAGGTAAATTCAAACACAAAGTCAGATGGCCTGTGAACCAACCTAACAATTTTCTGGCATTTTTATTTTTTAAACAGTTCATCCTCTCATTTTAGGAAATACTGGGGAATTCTGTTCAATGAATAAAGTCATTTTCTTCTTCTCCAGCTGAAATTATTAACCCTGTGTGAGTTGCCATATATTTATATTTGAGGCCACTCTCAGAATGTGAGAGAACATAACTGTAATGAGACTGAGGCAAGATTATTTTTAGAATTTAGAAATTTAGCCTTTACTAAATTGTGGCAGAAATTCTTTGAATCACTTAATTAACTGGTAAGTAGCGCATGATGATTCTTAAATACCATCTTAAAAGCAAATTTCAGATTCTCAGGATCTGTGAGATTTTTGAGATATAGCTGTAATTTCCTTCTGAAAGTTAGGTCATGCTGTCACCTATATTCTCAGGACTCCTATGTATTCAGATGTGTTTATTCACGTACAAACTACTATACTTTGTGTTATATATTTGAAAAAAAATATTTGTTTTTATTCAGATGTGTGCCATAATATCTTTGCAATTCAGAGTTTACTTATTTCTTTTTATCATGCTATGCAACTCTAATACTTTTCTTACGTGTAATCATGAGATTTTTGTCTTTTGTAATATATACCTCACCATTATAAGTGGTCCTTATCTAGCTAAACATTATCCAGTAAGACAATAAATAAAGCAATAACATGGATTTCTCTCCTTTTTAAGGTTTAAATTAGTTTACCATTTTTCCATTTCAGGAGATGGAGAGTGGATGCCAGACCATAGCGTAAGTGCGTTTGCTGATAATGCAGTTGCCTTGGGTGTTCTGCAGAGTGTCCAGAACCCATCAATGAGTAGAACAGAGCAGAAGATGGGTAAGATCAGCTGAAAGGCCACAGTGCCGTACTGATGACTCACTGTGTTTTTTAGTTTGTCTCTGAGCAGTTTACTAGGTACCTGAAAATTAGTTTTTGCAGTTTCATAATATGAACTTTTTCAGATTTTAACAGGTTACCTGACATTTTTCTCCAAAACCAAGTTTAGTCATATTTTTCTCAAAAACATGAGTTAAGTCTTAGTTATTTTTACAACATTGTATTAGTGAAAGTTTTTTTTTTTTTTAATGTAGCTCAGGGTATGGTATATATTTTAAACGATCTTATAAGAGATCGTTTTATTACACTCTCAGGAAACCGTGCATTTGTACTAGATTTTTCACGTCATTCGCTTGGTTCAAATTGTGATCAGACATAGCCATTTGTGGGAGGAATGGTTTAGGTTAGGATTGCTGCTTGTAGCCATGGTTGAGACACCTCTGTTCTACATCCAGTGCCAATTGTGTTAACCCTAAAATCTCCACTTAAATTCATTAACTCCATTCTCTAACCAAAATAATTATAAGGTTGTCTATAGGATAAGTCTTTTGACATGTTGAATCTCACTGTAGTATTTTCCTAGAGAGATTATGCAGAGAATTTTGACATCGTTAAAACCAGTAGTTTTATTTTAGGTCATTATTATTATCCAGTAACACTTGCTACAGTAAATCTACTGTAGGCCAGGCACCGCCAGACACTGGTGATACAAAATAAACCCTCGTCCATGTATTACAAGAGCTTAGTCTGGTATAAAGGTTTTCAAACCTTTGTATGACTGTATTCACGTGGGAAACCTGTTGTAATGGGAATTTCTCTACTTCACTCTTAAGATTCCTATTTATTAAAGCTGAGATAGGGTCTAGGAATTTGCATTTATTTTATCAATAATTTCATGTTATGCTGCTGTAGACCGTCCAAAAATCATACCTAGGGAAAACTGCTGTATAGATACGTAAACACATAAATTACCCCAAATAAAGTAAACATTCTATAAAAGGACTGTGAGTAACATACTTTTGGTGACTGAAAATAGTAGCACATGTGATCAGTTATAATAGAGGTAGGTACATGTGCAGTCTTTTTTAGAAACGGAGATGGTGGGGATCCCTGGGTGGCCCAGTGGTTTGGCACCTGCCTTTGGCCCAAGGCGCGATCCTGGAGACCCGGGATCGAGTCCCACGTTGGGCTCCTGGTGCATGGAGCCTGCTTCTCCCTCTGCCTATGTCTCTGCCCCCCCCCCGTGTGTGACTATCATAAATAAATAAAAATTCAAAAAAATAAATAAATAAAAATAGAAACGGAGATGGTAAAGTGATTGCTTTGCCATTGAAAAGTGTAGATCACCAAGGTGTTAGAGCCAAGTGACATTTCAGCTGGGTCTTAAAGAATTAATACGATTTACCAGTTAGGGGCAGAGGGAAATGACTTTCTGAACAGAAGCCATAGCCTGAAATAAAAATAATTTTCTGACTGTGCCTCAAGTCACCAAAATATAATATTCTGAGCTAATGCTAATATCTAAAGGAATTCTTCAGGAGGATTTTTAAGTTTCTGACTGTAAAAACACAATAGCTATGAAATGCAGCTGTGTGTGTAGCAGGAAGCCCATTGATCATCCCCAACCCCTGCCCAACCTCCTGCTCACTCCCTGTCTTCCTATCTGTGTACAACCATGCAAACATCGGTAAGTCTTTAAACCAGGATCCATCTTGCCTCTTTCTTAGCCACCGCAGCCAAGTCATCCCTGGAGCCTGCTGATCTCAGCTCGAATATTGATCCCAAAATCTGACCACCTCTACCTTTATTGCCCAAGATGAGCCCAAGCCACTTGTCCATCATCTCTCATTTGTCTCTCAGTTTCACTTTTTGCCTTTTCTGAAAACAAGTTTCTATAACCGATTTCCATCAAATCCTACTGTTCATAGTGAGTGAATTGTTTCTAGAGTCATAAAATCATGTATAGTTCACAGGGAACTAATCATATTTTCTGTAAACTTAAAACATAAATTGCATCTTATCAATCTCCTGCTTAAAAGCATTTTATAGCTTCTTATAGAAGGCAGAAAAAAAAATGTTTCTTACCAGACATCACACACAGCAGTACTGAGTTGGCCTGGCCTGGCCCAACTGCATCCTCTCCCAGAGTGCAGCTATGCTGGCTTCTTTTTTTTGTTACTGCACAGGCCACGCACTCTCTTTTGCTTGTTACCTTTAGAATTTGCTCTTCCATCTATCCTGGGATGGTCTGTAGCCTCTTTCTCCCTCTTCATACCCTTTTCATATGATTGATTCTTTCCAATTTATCCATCTCAGCCCAGCTGCTACCTCTGTAGAGGCCTTCTGAAACCACTCTACCTAGTGCTAGCCTCTTGAGACCCCCCAATCACATTTACCTTTATTTTTGTCCCTCTCCTATAACCTATTACTAGATGATATTATTTTACTTGTTTATTTTCTGCTCATCCTACACTTGGTTGGAAAGAAAGCAAGGACCTAGCCTGTCCTCTTCTTTGTTGTGTCCTCAGTGACGGAACATAGTCTGGCATCTTGTCAGCACCTAGCAAGCATGTCTAAAGGAGTGAAGCAGGAGAGCAGGACTGTGGGTTAGTTTGGAGTACATTGAGGGAAGGGGCCATGTCCCATTCACTTTTGAGTACCCTGATCCTGACACAGTGCCTGAGAGTTTTAGAATTTGACAAATGATTTTATAATCTAATTGGATTGAGTATTTCAATTCATAAGCTCTCAGAGTTGGAAGGCATTTAAGATACTAATCTGTTCAACTCCTAAATTACTCCTAAATTTTGTAGGTGAAATATGAATATGAATGTCTCAGGTCACAGGGTGATTTCTAATCTGGTGGAGTACCTCCCACTTTAGCCTTCTTTCTACTAACCCTATGCTGCTAAATAAAATGTTCATAGGTATCTTCAGAACACTTAGAAAATACATTTTTATTTTTTTATGTATAAAAGCTTAGTAATTTACAAAGTAGAACAAGAATCTCAAAAGACAATGATGTTTTGCAACCTTTATTCAGGAATAAAATAGTGGCTCCTTTGATCAGATGTTACTTGTTATTGAAACATTGTGCAAAAAGCATGTTGCTCTACTGATGTCTCATTCAGTTCTAATGTTTTTATTTAGACCAGCAATAAAAATTATTGTACTATTGTATTAAGTACTATTCAGTGATTCATACTTTCAAATCCTTGTCAGCATTCCTACGCCCACTAATAAAGCAGAAAGCGCCCTTCTCTTTTATCTTACCAATATCTGGTATGGTCTCAGTAGTTATAAGGCATATATTTTTTAGCTAATACCAAGGATAATTTCTTTAGTTATTTTTAGAGTATAACTATGGTCAAAGCTAATCTGTAATTTCCTAAGATTACACTGTCAGTAGTGGCACAAGTTACTCCAAAAGGAATTTCTTATGCTTATCATCTTACAAACTGGACTTTTAAAAAATTATGAAATGCTCCCTTTGATCATGGAATTCTTCATTAGTGTCAGTCTTAGCGGTGTTTCACATCTTAACCCCACCAATAACATTAATGAGCTTCTACATTAATAAGCTTATAGAGAGAATGATATATTCACCTAAATAAACAAAATAAATAAATAAGACGAAGGACCAGACTGAAGCATCTTCTGTCTCTTTCTATGTTTTAGGTACTTTAAATTACACTTTACATATATTTTCAATTAAAAAAGATGGTCTGTCTGTTTGCTGTGTGCTGAGCATACATCTGCCCCACTCCCAAGTATACTTTTTTTTTTTTCTCAGTTGGGATCAATTAACCTCTAATACTGTGGCAACCAAATGTTGTCACAAGAGTTTGGCAAGTGTTTTTGTTTTTCTGAATCTTCTGAAGGGCATCTATATTATGTTAAATTTTTCTCAACTCATATTTGCCTGTGTTGGCAGATGTCCAGTTCTTCCTCATAACACCTTCCACTTGTTTTATTTTAATCCGAGTTCTGCATTACTCGGAGTTTTACTTCACTGGGACATAGCACAATAGAAATGGGAGGGTATCATTTTCTACATAGATACAGAAGTTTCCATTCATACAGTTGAATTTCTATTACACTCCTTGACCTGTGCTTCCACGATGGCTGCTCCGACCACAGCCTTACTATGTAGGAATGGCAAGGTTGCTTTTTCGTGTATTATGTATTTTTATGTATTTGAGTATTTTATATCTGATGTACTTTTGTGTATTACAGGTAAAGGGGGGAATTATTTCCAAATTCAAGTCATTAAAGAAATCCATAGGGATATTTACATTTATATGTCCTAAAACATAGACACATTTTTGTCAATAATTTTTCTAATTGTCTCCGTGCACATAGACAAAAAGGTCAGAATCTTATTTTAATTTATTCATAATTTCATTCCAACAAAAAATGTTTTCAAAATTGATTTCTGAAATGTTCATTAAAACTGGTGCCCTTTGGGACTTACCTTAGTCAGTTTTAATTGCTTAAATAATTACATACTGCATTAGGATGTTTCTTAGGGTACTAGTTACAATCAAAGTAGATTTTTAAGTTGAAAAAAAGGACAAACCCAGTAGTCATTAAATGTTTAATACAAGACAACTACCTGTAGTTACTTTACTGAATCTCACAGTTTCCTTCGAGTTGGGTGGGCATAATATTATAATGGCATATGTTCAAATTATGATTTTCATGATATCAAAAATAGCACTTCTTTAATGTATCCAATATTTTGCACAAAGCCAATTTGTGTTAAGGGTATACGAGATTATCTTATAAATTATTTATATTTAATATAATATATTTATCTAAAACAGAAGAATAATTTAGTACATATTAAAATATACCTGCACTAAAAAATTAAAAAATAAAATATACCTGCACTATGAATTTCTAATTTTGTGCTTTGAATATTTCCTTGGCCTTCATTAGAGAATCTTGTGAGCAGTACCAAAAGATAGATATATGTATCCATAGATAGATAGATATAGTTATTTTGTGTTAGTGTAAGATTTGAAGGGATTTTTTTTTCCTACTATGAAAACAACATACATGTTGAAGAAACCAACTAAATCAACCTTGAAATAGGCCAAGACAAAGTTGTGGCTGTCTTTATATAACAAAGTAATAACCTGAGTTAGGTCTATGTTTCTGGAACTTTTCCACTGAAGTGCCCTAATAAAGCAGCAGAACGTGAACTCATATTTGGAAAAATTATAAATATCTCAATTTTTTCAAAGCCTGTGTTTTTCTAAAAGATTGTGCATACTAGTATTTTGTCTTTATATTTGTTTTAATAGAAGAATGCTATACAGCATCAAATAAAATTCACTAGGAAGTGGTACCATACAGTTATCCTAGAATTTAAGAAACACAACACAGTTTGGGATGGTTAGGGAATAGATTATAAGATTGGACATTGGGGGAAAAAAGTTTAGACATTGAATTGTTCTGGAATTAACTTGGTTTACAGATGTTTTACTTTAGTTAATATTAAAATTAGCTTGTCTTTTTCTGAATGTAGAAATGTAGAATGTAGGAAAAAAAATAACCTGGAAGCGTCCTTTATGGTATAGGGAATGTAATTTGAGATTAAAATGTTGTGGTAAACCAGAATGCATGATAATCTGAAATCTACTTTCTCTTAAACTCTGTTGCACGACGTTAACTGCTCTAGGTTTCGGGGGCTAGTATTTTGTATCTTTAAGCATTCATTCACAGTTTTTTTAAAATAAGTTGATTTAAAAATTGTTTATTTTTCATTTTAGGCCAGATGCCGCAGAGACCTTTAACAGCAAATTTACCCCTTTCCAGCTCTGTTAAAAAAAGTTCCAGCTGCCTTGTCTCCTCCCATCATCGATCAAGAAGTGCAGCTGCTCGATCATTATCTAGAGCTGCTTCTGAAATTTCAGAAATTGAATATATTGATATTACTGACCACAACGAGCCTTTCTTAGATGGCACTGCTGATCAGCAAGCTTTAGAAAGTTTGGAAAAAGAATTAAATATGCTGAGAAATCTTGCAGGTAATGCTATTTTTTTTTTTTTTTTTTACTATAGACAGTGTTAACTCTGCCTTCTGCTTGATTTTTCATGTCACACTCCAAGAAAACAAGACTTTCCTTTCCCTTATTTAACCACCAACCTTTGTAATTGTTTCCTTGGATGTCCTCTGACCTCACTCTGAGGATGTTATAAAATGTATGAAAATTAATAATAATAATAATAAAATATATGGATGTCCACACCAGAGATGACCCCCATAGCCTACATAATACACAGTTAATGTATCATAAGGAATGTCACATGGACAAGAAAATAATTGTTTTCTCCTTTTTACAAACCTGCTGAGTGGCTAATCTCTGTAGCTTTACGTAAGCCAGTGCCCAACATCTTTTTTGGGGAATTGAGCTGTTAGACTTTCAAAGCAGTATTTGTCAAGTTCCAACGTGTGTATACAAATGCCCTGGGAATCTTGTTAAAATGCAGATTCTGGGGTGGGGCCCAGGATTCTGTGCATCTGACAAGTACCCAGTTGATGTCAATGCTGCTGGTTGGCAGACTAGTTTAAGGACAATTATACTTATGCATTCACTTTCCTAAACCTCAGTGGTTGCAATCTAGCAAATCATAACCGTATCCTTGAACATACAAGGGTCTGGTTCAGTAACAGACCTCAGAGGAACCAGTCCTCTTAATTTTCATCAGAAAGTTGTTCATGCATTTGATAGGGGCCAGCTGATTGTGGAATTCTTGAGAATGCCTGTTTCATCTTTATAGTTGATTGGCAAGTTAGCTAGATTAATTTAGTGGATCACAATTTTTTTTTCCTCTTCACTTAGTAGAGATTTCTCCACTGTCTTCTGTCTCTGAGTTTTGATGCTAGTTAATACTTTAGCACAGTTTTTCCTTTTAACTTTTGCTTGGTTAAATTTAATTGTCAAATAGTTTTCTCCCCAGGTAGCGCTCATGGGTGCCTCTATTGCTTGAGTTCTTTCATGTTTGAGAATGCATACTTCCTTTATATTTCAAAGGCAAATCAGATGAGGGTAATTTCCTGGGGTCATTCTACCTGTAAGCCTTGTACATACTGATTCTTTGCTTTTTTGGGTCGGATATAAATAAAGTAGTCTGAGGTCACCATGATTTATTTTTTTAATTTTTTTTTTACTTCACTCTCTCTTGCATGTGACAGGCTTCTTTCCTGACTAGATATTTGAAGAATTTTTTTTCATAATCTTTGAAATTCAATAACGGGACCAGGAATGCGTTTCAATATCAATAATTCAGCATTTCTTAAAGTGCACGGCTTTCTTTCTGTCTAGAACAAATTGCTCCTTATTTTCAGAGAAATTTTCTGCTGTTGTATGTTTGAATTGCTTTTCTGTTCCATTTGGCTTTCTCCTGCTGACAAACCTATTTTGTCTATGTTGGATCTTCTTTGTACAATGTATTTACTTATATTTTCTTCAACTATTTTGACCAGATTTTATTTTCCTTTGCATTTGCTACTCTTTCTTAAGCTTGTGTTCTGTGTTGTAAGTTTAATTTCCAGCTATAGTTATAGTCCATTCTTTATTGATTGATTTCATAAATAATTGATTGAATTAATAAATTAGCTCTCTAAACATATTGCTTTGATTTTGGGGGGGTAAATTTTTACTTTGCTATATTTCAAATTTATAGAAAATTTACAAGAATGTAAGAAAGTACAAGGAACTCCTGTATACTCTTTGCCCAGTTCACTACCTGTTAGTCTTTTCCCTGCTGGGATATTAATACACACACACACACACACACACACACACACACACACACACGCACACACGCACGCACTGTTCTTCTTGTGAACCATTTGAGAGGAAGTTATAAACATTATGACTCTTGATAAAAAAAATAGTTCAGTGTGTATTACCCAGGAACAAGGCCATTCTCTCAAGGATCATAATACAGTAATCGAAATCAGGGAATTTAACATTGATACAATGGGATTCTCTAATCTACAGTGCATATCTAATTTTTAAAATTTGTCTCAAAAGTGTTATTGTAATTGGGATTTTTTTTTTTTGGTACAGAATCCAATCCAAGAACAGGTGACCATTGAAAAAAAATTTCATGTCTGACATGCGATTGTTTGATCTTTGAGATTAGTTTTTACTCTTTATTTTTTCATTGAAGTATAATTGACATGTGATATCCTATTAATTTTAGGTTATGTAAGAGTGATTAGTATGTTTATACGTTATGAAATAATCCCCATGGTAAGTTTACTTACCATGTGTCACCACACACAGTTATCACAATATTATTGACTACATCCCTTATGCAGTACATTATATCCCCATGACTTATTTATTTTATAACTGGAAGTTTGTATCTCTTAATCCCCTTCACCTGTTTTGCTCATTACCCCCCCCCACTCCTTTCCACTCTGGTAACCAACAGTTTGTTTCCTATATCTATGAAACTGTTTCTGTTTTATGTGTTTATTTGTTCATTTTTTAAGATTCCACATATAAGTGAAATTATACTGTATTGTTTTTCGCTCACTTATTTCACTCAGCATAATATTCTCTAGGTCCATCCATGTTATTACAAATGGCAAGATTTCATTCTTTTTTTTTAATGGCTCAGTAATATTCTGATGTGTGTGTGTGTGTGTGTGTGTGTCTCTATGTGTCCGTATATCTCACATCTTTATCCATTCATATATTGGTGGATACTCAGGTCTTTAACCCATTTTGAACTTATTTTTTTAAAGATATTTTTTATTTCTTAAGATCTGGTTTATTTTATTTTTTTTAATAAATTTATTTTTTATTGGTGTTCAATTTGCCAACATATAGAATAACACCCAGTGCTCATCCCATCAGGTGCCCCCCTCAGTGCCCATCACCCAGTCACCCCCCACCCCCTGCCCACCTCCCCTTCCACCACCCCTAGTTCGTTTCTCAGACTTAGGAGTCTCTCATTTTTATTTCTGGTATAAGACAGTGGTATAATTTCATTCTTCTGTATGTAGCTGTCAGTTTTCCCAGCACCATTTATTGAAGAGACTCTCTGGGATCTTTTCTGGTTCCATACAAATTTTAGGATTCTTTGGTCTGGCTTTGTAAACTATGCCATTGGTATTAGTTGGAATTTGCAATGAATCTTTGGATTGCTTTGGGAAGAATGGACATGATAACAATAGTTATTCTTCCAATCCAGGAGTGCATTGTATATTTCCATTTATTTATGTTGTTTTCTATTTCTTACATCAGTATTTTATAGTTTCTAGAGTATAGGTCTTTCACCTCCTTAAATTTATTTCTAGATATTTTATTCTTTTTGATGCAGTTGTAAATTGGACTGTTTTCTTGATTTCTCTTTGTGATACCTTATTAGTAGTGTATAGAAATGCAACTGATTTCTGTATGTTAATTTTGTATCCTGTGACTTTACTGAATCAATTTATTAGTTCTTACAGTTTTCTGGTGGAGTCTTGGTTTTCCTGTATACAATGTTATGCCTTCTGCAAATACTGATGATTTTACTTCTTTCGTTCCAATTTTGGTGCCATTTTTTTTTTGCCTTTTTCTTGCCTAATTGCTATGGCTAGGACTTCTGATATTGAATGTATTGAACAAAACATGGAAGTTCAATAAAAGTGGTGAAAGTATGCATCCCTGTCTTATCCCTGATCTTAGAGGAAAGGTTTTCAGCTTTTCATAATTGAGTATAATATTAGCTTTACATTTGTCATATATGGTCTTTTTATGTTGAGGTGCATTACTTCTGTACCCATGAGTGGGATTGGCCCAGGGTGTACCATGGTGGGGTTGTCTTGAAGAAATGGATAGAGCTATTCTAAGCTAGGGCCTGGGGCTTGTTGGGTCAGCCCTAGCGGGCCAACTATAGTACCTGGTTTCTGCTTTCGTCTGTGCTATCAAGGTGGAGGAAGAACATTAAAAAGTGGCATTTGTTAGTGTTTCCAACCCCAGAGTGATTTCTTTTTTTTTTTTTAAGATTTTATTTATTTATGAGAGAGAGAGAGAGAGGCAGAGACACAGGCAGAGGGAGAAACAGGCTCCATGCAGGGAGGCTGATGTGGGACTTGATCCTGGGTCTCCAGGATCACGCCCTGGGCTGGAGGCAGGTGCTAAACTGCTGAGCCACCCAGGCTGCCCCCAGAGTGATTTCTAGTAGTTCCTACCACTTTTCAGATGCTCTATGGTTAGTTAATAGGTTTCCTTTACTTACAGTCCAATTTCCCTTTAAATCACTATTTTTTCTTTGTATCCTAGGATGAAAGAGTCTGTGCATGGGCCCCTCAGTGATATATGCCTCTCCACTGCAGGTTGCCACTCTGGGGATGGGATTTCCTTCATTACTGTGTCTCCATCTCTTACCCTTCCTTGTGTGCTTTCTCCTTTATTGTGCAAAAGCCATTCATTCAGCCCTTAGTTGTTCTTCAGAAGGAATTGCTCTGTATGTAGGTGTAGATTAAGTGTGTCCATGGGAGGAGGTGAGTTCAGAATCTTCTATACCACCATGTTGGGCTGGCTTCTCACAGTGGTACACTCTTTTAAAATGTCGTTTTCATTATTTTTTTTTAGTAGTCAAAGGACTCATGGGGAATTTTCTTATGATCTTGATCTGTTTTCTACTAACTAGATATATCTTTTATTTAATTATTCTTTGCATGTTATGGATTCTTGGATTCAAGTTTGCATAGATAGTCTTTTCTTTGTGTCTTCCTCGTTCATGCTCACTGTGGGTAGCTTTGCTCACATGCTTTGTCTTTTCTGATCTTAGTGAAACTCCATTTTCCCTAAAATGCACCTGTGCACCTGTGATATGACAATCTTCTCTTTGGAGCTACTATTTGTGGATTGGTTTTTGCATTGTTTTCTGTATCTTGCCAGCACAGAGGCAGGAGAGGATAGTTGAAGGACTGGGGAACTCATCCTCCTTTGTGGAAGGGCCTGGCCTCTCGAGTCTTCCTGATTATATTAAACTTCATTGTACCTGGTTTCAAATCTGT